TATATATTGTGCCAGTAAAATACCGTCAGATTATATATTGTCCCAGTAAAATACTGTCAATATATTGCTCCAGGAAAATACTGTGAGATTAGTTTAAGAAACAAAACCTAACCAAGTCCTGTTTCGAAGAAGCAAACTATTGAAAACTTGATAGACAAAGCTGAAAATAAAAGAGTTGAATAAAGATCTAAGATACAGGAAAATATCCAAAAGATTAGTAATTATAATAATATTAGACAAGGCGAAATTTAAATATCAAACTAGGTAAATGAATTGTTACTATCGTAAAAGACATAGTTTATGAACTATATATATATAAAAAATATATATATAATTTTTTTTTTTTTTTTTTTGAGACAGAGTTTTGCTCTTTCACCCAGGGTGGAGTGAAGTGGTGAGATCTCAGCTCACTGCAGCCTCTGCCTCCACCAGGTTCAAGCGATTCTCCTACCTCAGCCTCCCAAGTAGCTGGGATTATAGGCGCTTGCCACCATGCCTGGCTAATTTTGTTGTTGTTGTTTTTTTAGTAGAGGGGTTTTGCCATGTTGGCCAGACTGGGTTCGAACTCCTGACCTCGTGATCCACCCACCTCAGCCTCCCAAAGTGCTGGTATTACAGGTGTGAGCCACTGCACCTGGCCAGGATTTCAGTACGTGTTTATCAGAATTAGGTCTAGTAGATGAAAATACGAGTATAAGGAATTGAATAGTGCATTTAATAAACCTGATTATATGTGTGTAGAAATAGTGTTTTAAATTCCTGGAATAGATCTTTTTTTAATGTCCAGGGAACTGTGGTCAAAGTTTAATGTCCAAGGTACTTGACCATAAAGAAAATCTTAACAGATGAGAAAAGTTGAGATTTTATAGGCTATGTTGTCTGGTAATAATACAGGTAAAGTAGAAAGAAATAACTATGAGATGACTCCTTTGAAACCTGCCTCCTGTTCCCCTATTCTCCCTATATTTGTTTCCACTGCAGAATTGCCTCAGTATTCTTGAACTGAGAAATTGGTAGTGGCAAGATCTTTATTCTTTATATTTGTAGCCTTACATTATTGAAATGCCTTTCAGTTTGATGCCTTTGTGTGACTGCCAGTGAACTAGGTTTTCCTAGCATACAGGTGTTGCCCATGCCCACACCTAGATTATCAACGATACTGTAAAACTTGACCTGAAATTTTAGGTTGATATTCCTGGCCTTTCTCTTTCAAATTCCTTTAAACTTTCAGTAACCACTTGTGGGCCATTTATTAGAACACAGGGAATTTTGAATTAAAAACACATAATTTAAAAGAAACAGGAACACCTAATGCTGAGAGGATGTGGAGAATAGCATATTCTCATACATTACTGGTGCAAATGTGAATTGTTACAGCCTTTTGGAAAATAATTTGACAGCTTGGTTAACAATTAAAATTCATATTCCTTTTGGCCTAGTATACCTCCTCCTAAGATTTCTAATCTTAGAAATAAAAGCCCAAGTAAGGCCATATGTATAGGGATATTTATTGCAGTGATGTGCATATTGTCAGCCAACTGGAAACAAAATGAACATTAGTAGGGAAAGGCAGGAAAAATGATACCTCCATAGATGGGATATTATGCTACATAAAGAAAAAATAAATTAGACTAATACCAGATTAGTTTGAGAAATTTCCGTAAGGTTTTGTTGAGTGAGCAAAGAAAGATGCAGAAAAGTATGTAATAATTTGCGTAACCAAAAAATAATTTAAGAGAACCATGCCTATATCATAGGCTCATGAGTATGAAGAAAAGTATTTAGGAATTCCTGCTAGGTGGTTAAATGTTTACCTTGGTCAAGGGTGGGTCAGAGTAACTGGGGAAGTAGGTTAAAAAAAAATTGTCTGTGATCATATCTGTGCATTATCTGTAAAATTATATAAATATGTATAAAGATACTAAGTAAACATTTAAAATAAAACTGACCTATTTCCCAGCCTGGGCAACATAGCAAGACTCATCTCTAAAAAAAAATATTAATTAAAATAAATTAGCTAGGCATAGTGGTGTGTGCCTGTAGTCCCAGCTACTCCAGAGGCTGAGGTAGGAGAATCACCTGAGCCCAGGAGTTTGAGGCTGCAGTGAGCCATTGAGCGTGCCACTGCACTCCAGCCTGGGTGTCAGAGTGAGATTCTGTCTCAAAAACAAAAAAAACAAAAACCACAATTATTTCTTTTCTAAAACTGATGTTGATTTGCAAACCTAAGTGTTCATGTGAAGTCCACTGAAACTCTTAGGAGTAGGAGAGGCATAGTGGAGAGCCATTAAACCTTTTATGTTAGGCCCTAAAACAAAGAATCAAGGAAGTGTGTACACACACACACATGCAATAAAACAATAACCAGTGGGAAATTAACTAAGAAACTCGAAGCCTAGAGTAAGGTGGTTTTTGTGGGTGGTTGATACTATTTTTTCAGGGACTTTGCATTCCTTTGATTTGTCATTTTTGGTGTTGGCTTTGTGTTTAGGCATAGCACAGGCTTTGTGTTCAGGCTGTAGTACTTCCAGCTGTAAAATCCAGCCATAGCCAAGTCCAGAGAGAGAAGAATGAGACGGTCTCTTCTTGGATGTTTGTCATAGGCTGTTTTTTAAAAAGCATTTGCTAAGGCTGAGTCTGGGTTACAACTTGATTTTAGTGTTGTAGAGGAAGGTGTTTTAGGAATTAGGCAGAATTAGGCAAAGGAAGAAGTTGAGCTCCAATGCAGTCCTGACAAAGGGGAACTCTGGGTCAGGGTTGCTTATTTGAGTTGCCCCATGTTGGATTGAAATGCCTGGGCCTTTATACTCTTTATGGTATGGGCTGCCATGGGAAGGGCAAAACCTGAAGCAAGGCAGCCCCTGAAGGAATTCATGTTCTGCTGACCACCTTCCCTGCTCCTGCTGGCAGCAAGTCCTTCCTTGAAGAGGAGATCTAGGTGGCGTGTCTCCCTGTCCACACACTTTCTTAAGAATGAGAAAATATTTCCTGGAAGTCATCCATCAGATGTGCCCTCACATCTAAGTATTAGATTACATGCTGTGTCAGAGGTTCATGGTTACACATCATAGCCTTTTCGTACTTCTCTAGTAAAAAGAATTCTGATTTTGTGATGGGTACATGATTATCTGGGATAACGGTTACATTTTTCAGCCTCCCTCTACTTGTAGACATGTCAGTAACTTCTGGCTAATCGAATGTAAGTTGAATTTTCATGTGTGACTTAACAGGGGGAGAGAGGGTGTACCCTCCATTTTCTTTTCCTCCTTCCTGCTGGGTAGAATTTGGGTATAATAGCTGGAGCTTGAGCCACTATCTTGGATTATGAGGTAGAAACCACATGTTGGGGATGACAGAGTAATAGTATAGAACAGCATTAGGTCCCTGATGATCATGGAAATGCCTTGGATTTCCATGCTCTGGATTGCTTACCTTTGGATTTTTTTTATCTTGGTGGTTAGTCCATTACTATTTAGGTTTTTCCGTCAGTTGCATTAAAGCCTAATTTTTTTTTCTCTCTCTCTCTATATGTGTGTGTATATATATGTGTCTATATAGATATATATTCTTTTTTTAAAATAGAGATGAGGGTGTTGCTGTGTTGGCCAGGCTGATCTTGAACTCCTGACCTCAAGCAGTCCTCCTGCCTCAGCCTCCAAACTGCTGTGATTACAGGCAAGAGCCACCACACCCAGCCCACACCTAATTTTAATTGATACACATTTCTAATCAGTCAATGACAAGGGGCATGGGAAAACATGATTGGCTTCAACTAACATTTTGGGGTGGAATGGATTTTGGGGAGTAAGGCATGGATACATCTCTATCAGGCGAGTACAGCAGAGGGAGAGAAAGGCAAGAACATCAAGGGGTTTGCAGGGTATGATTCTTGTGATGGGCTATGGGATCTTAACTAGGTATGTGAGAAAGTGACATGTGTGGATGGTAGGTGGTAAACAGTGAAGAAATGATAGTTTGGTGTATTGGTGGTCTCCATGGGGCTGAAGACTCATTGGAAAGGGGGAAATAGGCTAAATGAACTGGAGACATGAGACAGTAGTCAGAGGTTAGGGTGCTTTTTTTGTGGGTAATGTTGTTACTGGTAATAGCAAGGGCCAGAGAAGGGGATGGCTAAAGAGGGGTGGAGGAAAAGATAGTTAATGGTGAGGGTAAGAAATGGAGAGGCTGGGTTTTGGATGGAACATCTTAGATGTTGATGCAGATAGTGGAATAGAGTGAACGATTTATTAATATCTTTAGTGCATTAGGAGTAGCTGGGAGATGACTCAGAAGGTAAGGGAGGCAGATCCAGAAGCGAGCTTGTGTTCCGAGTGGCTGATGTTGTTGATGAAAGAGGGAAGAAAAATGATCTGGAAATAGCCATGATGAAGGAAATAGCATCCTTCTTAAATATTAAAAATTTTTATATAGCAGCAGATACTTGCTGGTTGCAGTGGCTCATGCCTGTAATCCCAGCATTTTGGGAGGCCAAGAGAGGAGGATTGCTTGAGGCCATAAGTTCAAGCCTGGCAACTTCGTGAGACTCTGTCTCTACAAAAAATAAAAAACAAATTTAAGAAATTTATGGCTGGGTGTGAAGGCTCAAGCCTGTAATTCTGGTGCTTTGGGAAGCCGAGGTGGGAGGATCTCTTGAAGCTAGGAGTTTGAGACCAGCGTGGGCAACATAGCGAGACCCATCTTTACCAAAAGGAAAAAGGATGACATAAAATTAAGATTTAGGTATGTTTTGTTCATTCCTGTTGCTTTTCATATTTTGCTGTCTTCTTTTTTCATGTATGTGATAAGTATTTGTTTCATCTAAATTTATGCAATCTGAATATAACTAGTCATTTTCTACTGGTTACAGTATGTGTTAATGTGCCCATTATGTTTAATTTGTATTATATTAGGAATTTAAAAATACTAATATATGAAAATATATAAAAATATATGAAATTAATATCATAGACTTAAGTTTTCTTTTTTGATTTAAATTACAGACTAACTGGATCTTCTGGGTTTGTAACAGATGGACCTGGAAATTATAAATATAAAACGAAGTGCACCTGGCTCATTGAAGGACAGTAAGTAGAAATGGCTGACTTAATTTTTGTTTTCTTAGCATAGAGGTCAGTGTGGCATTAGTTTTCCCACAAATAAAATTAACGATCTGTAGCATAAAGTACTTAAAACATTTACTTGATAACCTTTCATTTGACAAGTGAATTTTATTTTTCTTAGCCTTCATTAATTTAAAAGTTTCATGTTGATTTAATGCTGCAAATGAATTGTACACACCACAAATTTGTGTATTTCCAACTGTAATAGTTCAGAAATGGTTATATATATATATATATTTTTTTTTTTTTATGGGACAGCGTTTTGCTCTTGTCACCCAGGCTGGAGTGCAGTGGCGTGATCTCGGCTCACTGCAACCTCCACCTCCCAGGTTCAAGCAATTCTCCTGACTCAGCCTCCTGAGTAGCTGGGATTACAGGTGCGTGCCACCACGCCCTGCTAATTTTGTATTTTTAGTAGAGATGGGGTTTCACCATGTTAACCAGGATGGTCTGGAACTCCTGACCTCAAGTGATCCGCCCACCTTGGCCTCCCAAAGTGCTGGGATTACAGGCGTGAGCTGCTGCGCCCAGCCACAGTTACATATTTTTAATGGTTTGCTTAAAGCATTAGAAAATTACAATATTGTGTTATTTTTCTAAGTATCTATTTTTGTTGTGGATAAGAAAATTGTAATAACTGTTATTGCTTAAGTGATCCCTTCTCTGGACCCACTGTGTCCCTCTAGCTGTTGCTTTTTTTCTCCTTGTCTTCATGGGAGACTTTTAAAGCAGTATTTCTCAAACTTTTTTGGTCTCAGGACTTCTTTACACTCTTAAACTTTGAGGATTCTAAATAAGTTTGTTTATTATTTATTTATTTATTTATTTTGAGATGGCGTGTCACTCTGTGGCCCAGGCTGGAGTACAGTGGTGTGATCTTGGCTCTCTGCAACCTCCACCTCCCGGGTTCAAGCGATTCTCCTGCCTCAGCCTTCCGAGTAGCTGGGATTACAGGCATGTGCCACCATGCCCAGCTAAGTTTTTGTATTTTGTAGTAGAGACAGGGTGTCACCATGTTGGCCAGGCTGGTCTCGAACTCCTGACCTCAAGTGATTGTCCTGCCTTGGCCTCACAAAGTGCTGGGATTACAGGCGTGAGCCACCGCCCCCGGCCCCAGATAAGTTTATGTTTGTCTGTGTTCACCATATTAGAACTTATAACCAACAAATATTATTTATTCATTTAAAAGCAACAATTATAAGCCCACTACATGTTAGTACAAATGATATTTTAATGAAAAAGAACCTCATATTTTAAAAATTGTAGTGAAAAGAATGACATTGTTTTACATTTTTGCAAATCTCTTTAATGTCTAGCTTGATAAAAGAGCTGAATTATCATATCTTCTGCATTCACTTTGTTGCAGTATGTTATTGTGATTGAAGCGTGTCAAGAAGATGAGGCCTCACTTGAATATGAAGTAGGAAAAAAGATATTAATAGTACAGTATTATAAAATAATTGTATATAGTCTTCTTTGATACCATATCAAAACTTAACAAGTAGTAATTTCTTAAAAGTAAATTGCAGTTTGGAATCTGAAACTATGTGAAGGAACTTCTGGTACTTGTTAAATTAAAATCCATTGGTTTTCTTGCACTGAGTGGATCTTTTGCCCATCCATGATTTGGTAACATGATATATAGGTCATTTGGAAAACAATAGGTCATTGAATTATGCAGATCTTCCATATGTTGATATATTTATTCCCTTACATAATATTTAAAAAATCACATTAGTTAATATCACCATCAGTCTCCTCAAAAAGTTCTAAGTATGGCAGATAACAAATTTTCCAAAATCCTGATTACTACTTGAAAGCTTGTATTTTATCTTTGGCAGCAAATACTGTCAGTTGTTTTCTTTGAAGTGACAGGCTTGCTTTCCTAATTTTTAAGAAAATGTCTGCCAGATATCCAACTCTGAATAACCATAATTTGTTGATTGTTCTTTCAAGTAAGCATGGTAAATGGTGTTGTAAGAAAAAAGTAGCTAATTCAGCTTGCAACTTAAACAGTAGCAAAAGTGGTTTTCATTGAGAAAACCATGGCGCTTCTATTAGGCAAGAGAAGTGTTTTATATTTACTTTCCATCTTGTCAGAATATTAAAGAGATGTCTACTAATTGGTCAGGATTTAATAAAATTAGAAGTTTTAAACTGCTTAATCAAGATATCCTTAAATGAAACTGGCAGTTTTTCTTTTTCCTGTGAGCAATTGGTGGTGAAGAACAGCAGTGATCACTAGTACCATTTGCTGCTGTTGTCTCAATTTGTTCTAAGATGCCCACAGTTTCACCCACCATTGCTCTTTGAACCATTAGTAAATGCCAGCATGGCGATAAAATATATGCTATCTTAGTTTTACTGTGAATATAGTTTTGACCTCCTGGGACTTCCCATAAGGGTCTCAGGACCTGTAGCATTTTGTGGACTTCATTTTGAGAAGTGCTGCTCTAAGGAGCTCTGCTCTGTCCTATCAGTTCATAACCACCTGATGCCCTCTTCCACTTGTTTTTCTGAATATGCTCTCAATGGTTGTTCCTCCTCAGTGTAAGCGAAAAATGAAGCAAAGAAACTTTCATTCCTCCTTTTTCTTATTCCCCACATTTAGCCTGTCAGTAAGTTCTGTCAGTTTTCCCTTTAGAATGTCGGCCGGGCACGGTGGCTCAAGCCTGTAATCCCAGCACTTTGGGAGGCCGAGACGGGCGGATCACGAGGTCAGGAGATCGAGACCATCCTGGCTAACACGGTGAAACCCCGTCTCTACTAAAAAAAAAAATACAAAAAACTAGCCGGGCGAGGTGGCGGGCGCCTGTAGTCCCAGCTACTGGGGAGGCTGAGGCAGGAGATTGGCGTGAACCCAGGAGGCGGAGCTTGCAGTGAGCTGAGATCCAGCCACTGCACTCCAGCCTGGGTGACAGAGCGAGACTCCGTCTTGAAAAAAAAGAGTGTCTCCCCAATCCATCACCAGACTCCTTTTCACCTCCATCTCTACAACTGGGAGACCCACCATCCTCTCTCCTGGGCCACACAGTAGCCTTGAAGTTGGCCTCCTGCTTTTGCCCCTTGCCCACCTCCCACTTCTCATCTCTTAAGATTTTCTGTTTGCTGTGTTTCAGGCACGCTGATTTTCTTCATGTTGCTTGGACATGTCAGCCTCTTTCTCCCTTAAGACCATGCTGTTCCCTCCCTGGGCTTTTCACATGGCTTGTCTCTTGTCATTCTCATGTTGCCAAAGCTTACTGGGCTATCTCCCTACTGCTTTTTGTGCTGCCACATCACCTTCTTTTAATAATTCTTCACAGTATTCATCACCATCTGAGTTTACTTGTTTATGTATTTATTTAGTTGTTAACCTAGAGATGTTAGATAAGTGTGGGGTAGAGGAAAGGTCTAAACTGGAGAAATAGAATTAGGCATCAGCAGGATATAATGATGTTGATATTCCCAGAGCTTTCTGAGTGGAGTGTTGGACTGAAGCCAGGCTAGAGAGTGAAGGGGTGAGTGAGATAGAGGCACTGGAGAAAGCAAAGTTTTCTGCGAAGTTTTACCTTATTAGGAGGAGAAACGTTAGGGCAGGTATTTGGTAGAGGGAGAGTCGGGATTTGAGGCTTTTTGTTTTTATTTTTATTTTTATTTTTTTAATTTTTTTAAATTTTTGAAACGGAGTCTCGCTCTGTTGCCCAGGCTGGAATGCAGTGGCGCGATCTCGGCTCACTGCAAGCTCCGCCTCCTGGGTTCACACCATTCTCCTGCCTCAGCCTCCTGAGTAGCTGGGACTACAGGTAACCACCACCACGCCTGGCTAATTTTTTTGTCTTTTTTAGTGGAGACGGGATTTCACTGTGTTAGCCAGGATGGTCTCGATCTCCTGACCTCGTGATCCGCCCACCTTGGCCTCCCAAAGTGCTGGGATTACAAGCGTGAGCCACCGCGCCCGGCCTGTTTTTATTTTTGTAAAATATGTGATACTTAAGCAGATTTAAATGTGGATGCAAAAGTTCCAGATGAGAGGGGGATGTAAAATATTTGAGAAACAAAAAGAGAGGCAGATAGGTATAGAATTTTGGAAAATGGGAATTTTAGGGTTTTTTGTCTGGTTGCTGAGCATAAGCAGGGAGGTGGGACTGGGTGATTTGAAATAGTCGTTGAGAGTAGCAGTTGTGGAGAGTGAGAGAGAATTGGTAGGATTGCTGGCAGAATCTAAGTGCCATTTGCAGTTGGAGAGCAGAGACCAATGCCGAAACCAGTCTATCTAGTGGTGTGGTGTAGAGGTATGGCTTTCTCCAATACAGCTTAGGTTTTTTTTTTTTTTTTTTTTTTACCTCCACCGCCCCCCCTCTTTTTTTTTTTCCTGATTCAATCTTAGAGCAGATAACTGGTTTCCTGTAGAACAGAGCTTTTGCCAGCCAGTGTCATGAAAAATCAGAGGGGCTGGCAAATTTAGAGGATTGGCAGGCATGTTTATGAAATGACGTAGTGTGGAATCTGAAGTTGAATAAGGAAGTGCAGAAATGGTAAGGCTAATTGGTTGGTTCAGAGGCCATTAAAGAGTGGCCACTGAATGGACTGTAAGGCCCAGAATCATGGACCACATCAATTTTGTTTCCCATTGCATGTTTAGTAGTCTTGCACATGGAGAGTACTAAATAAATCTTTGACAAATGAAGGAGTACTGATAGGGCAGTTGTTAGACTGTGTTACATATTATTAATTTAAAAATCTGAATTTTTATATTCTCAAATGTCTGATAGTTACAATAATTTTATTATAAATTCCTTTTTTTTATTCTTTTCAGGCCAAATAGAATAATGAGACTTCGTTTCAATCATTTTGCTACAGAGTGTAGTTGGGACCATTTATACGTTTATGATGGGGACTCAATTTATGCACCGCTAGTTGCTGCATTTAGGTAAGCTCAGTCATATAAGCGTTTTTCCATCATTGTTTGATTCTAAATTTAAACATATCTTCTGGATTGCATTCTTACTGGGTTCACCTTTATTATCACTTAACACATTTATTTTATGGAAAAAATACTAGTTCTTGAGTCCCACCATCACTTGTGTGTTAGTGCTAACTTGGTTTCTGTAGCCCTGGGTAAGTTTCTAGGCATAGTACGTGACTTCTCTCTTCAGTTTCCTGATCTGTAAAATTGTGATAGGTCTATTAAGTTCACCTGCTCCTTGTGGTGGTGGTGAAGTTTATCGTTACAAAATATTTTGAGAGTAATATATTGAATGAAACTATTTCTGTGAAAAATTTAAATCAGGAATAACATCCATCACGTTCCTTGTGTAGTGCCCATTGCATAGGCCTTCAGAAGTTATTTGTTGAGTTCAAATATAACTGTGTGTGTATATGTATGTGCATCATGAGTGAGGGAAACTTTTTGGAACAGTACACATAAAATGAACAGTGGCTACCTGTGGAGAAATCAGGAACATACTTATTATATATATTTTTTTCAATAAGTACATTTACATTAGTAGTTAAACAGAAGCAATTTAACACCAAATATATGGAGTGTTCTGAATTGTTAGGGTGTATTTACACCAATAGATGGTATAGCCTACTGTACATCCTGCTGATATGGTACAGCCTATTGTACCTAGGCCACAAATCTGTACAGCATCTTACTGTACTGAATACTGTAGGTAATTGTAACCCAATAGTATTTGTATATTTAAACATATCTATACATGGAAAGGTACAGAAAAAATACAGTATTATAATCTTATACAACCTCTGTCATATATGTGGTCCGTTGTTGACCAAGTGTCATTATGTGGTGTATGACTGTATATTTTTCTAAAATGCATATCCCCTTAGGAAACCACCTGCAACTGGCTTTCTAAATTTCTTTGTCTCAAACGTTTTATTTCCATTACTTTAAAAAGAAATCAGTTCAACAAATATTTTTTGTGTTTCTCACGTGGGGCTTGTCTGGCTGATGTCCCGTGTGGGTGAGGGAGTTAACAGGAGGCAAACAGTACACAAGGACAGGAGATCAGGTGACTGTTGTGTCCTCGTGTTTTTCTACCCGCTTTGGCTTAGAAATCTCTCGGACGTATCTTTGAACTGAGAACCAAGGCCATTTTCTGGGTTTTTAAGGTTCATTTACAAGGCCAAAGAGCAGGGTGGATGGCTGTGCTGAACATTTAAAGTGGCATTGGCCAAGTGTTGGAGTGTGTATCTTTATGCCAGCATTTGAAATATAACTTGTAGCAAGAAGCACCCCAAACTTTAACACAGGCCCAAAAACTAAGTGTGATGTTATCGTAATAGTACTTGTTGGGGATTCACTTGTTACTGTGTTTGGTAATCAGAATTCATGGAGCTCTTGTTGTATGCCAGGCACTTTGAATCAGCTTATCAGGAGCCTTGTAGGAACATGAGCCAAGCAGGTGTACATCACTCTGTGGTTCACCTGGACGGTATATTTGATAAACAGTGGTAGCAGTGGTAGAGCAGAGAGAGTGATTGAGAAAATTCTTCAAAAGAACATTATTCCTTTTAGAGTTTTTTTTTTTTTTTTTAAAGAAAGTTATGTGCTGGTGGGGCAGTTGTTAGACTGTGTGATCTAGAGGAACCCTTCCCTTTCCCCCTTCCCTTTTCCCCTTTCCCCTTCTCCTTCCCACTTCCCCTTCCCCTTTTCCTTCCCTTCCCTTTCCCCTTCCTCTTCCCTTTCCCTTTTCCTTTTCTTTCTCCCCCAGGCTGGAGTGTAGAGGCAGGAACGTAGCTCACTGCAGCCTCAACCTCCTGGGCTCAAGAGATGCTCCCACCTCAGCCTCCCTAGTAGCTGAGACCACAAGAATGCAACACTATGCCCAGCTAATTTTTTTTTTTTTTTTTTTTTTGTGGAAATGGAGTCTCACAATGTTGCCCAGGCTGGTCTTGAACTCCTGGGCTCAAGCAGTCCTCCCGCCTTGGCCTCTCCAAAGTGTTGGGATTACAGGTGTGAGCCACTGCATCCAGCCGAAGATTGCTTTTGACATACCTGTTTCCAGGTGGCCCTGGTCTTGTCAGTACTTATTCCTTCAGCATTTCAAGGGATTCTGGTGTATATAACCAGTGAAAGCATGATGATGGTTAATCCTTCATTTACATCTCCAATCAAATGTCACCTCTTCCAAGAGGCCTTCCTTTCACCCTTTCTAAAGTAGCACCTTCTGTTCTTTCCCTCTGCTCTCCTTCCCTTCATAGCGTTTGTCTCTACCTGGCATTATGTATGTGGGGAGTATCTGGGCTTATTTGTTGTTTTTCTAATGTGAACTACATGAAGGCAGGGACATAGTCTTATTCACTGTTGTATTCCTGGTACCTAGAACAGTGTCTCACAGGTAGTAAATGCTTAGTAAATATTTGTTAGTTGAATACATAGTAGAAAATGCATCACTATTTTGTAACTCCTGGAGCACCAGAGTTTCAAAGTTCCTAGAGTTCTGTCTTCATATTAAAAATTGAAGGGCCAGGCGTGGTGGCTCACACCTGTAATCCCAGCACTTTGGGAGGCCAAGGTGGGCGGATTGCCTGAGGTCAGGAGTTCAAGACCAGTCTGGCCAACATGGTGAAACCCCATCTCTACTAAAAATACAAAAAAAAGAAAAATCATCTGGGCTTGGTGGTGTATGCCTGTAATCCTAGCTACTCAGGAGACTGAGGCAGGGGAATTGCTTGAACCAGGGAGGTGGAGGTTGCGATGAGCCGAGATTGCGCCACTGTGCTCCAGTCTGGGCGACAGAGGGAGACTCTGTCTCAAGAAAAAAAAATATATATATATTGAATAAAGGGCCAGGCACAGTGGCTCAGGCCTGTAACCGCAACACTTCATGAGGCTGGGGCAGGAGGATTACTTGATCCCAGGAGTTCAAGACCAGCCTGGGCAACAGGGTGAGACCTCATCTGTACAAAAAATTTTAAAAATTAACCAGCCGTGGTGGTGTGTGCTTGTAGTCCCAGTCACTCAGGAGGCTGAGGTGGGAGGATTGCTTGAGCTCAGGAGGTCAAGACTGCAGTGAACTGTGATCGTGCCACTGCACTCTAGCTTGGGCGACAGAGTAAGACCTTGTCTCAAAATAAAACAAAGCAAAACAAATGAAATGAAAATCCTTTCCCTCTTCATTTTGATTCCTTGCTTATGGACTCTTCCAGTCATTTTTGTATGCGTTTATATAGGTACATGTAAGTGTACACATGTACTAGGCCCATTGTTTTGCAGCTTGCTTCTCCCCTATGCCCTTATCAGAATGCCTGATGAGCTTCTTGTTAGTCCCGCAGACCTATGTAATATGCAGTGACTTATGCAGTCAGATTTCTGGGCATGAGCATTTAGATGGGTTCCAACCTGTTGCCATCTGAACAGTGCTGTGGTTAGGATTCTTGTATATTGGTCATTGTGTACATGAGCAAGTATTTTTTCCACAAAGAAATAGAATTGCTAGGTCAGAGTGAATGAGCATGAGGTTGTATGTCTGGGACAGATTGCGTAGGGCTTGGCAAGGATCTCGGCTTTTACCAAATATGATGGTAGTGGTGGTGGTCGCGAATCAATAATGAGGCAAAAATCACGGACATATGAAGAAATGCAACAGCAGGTAGACATAAGAAAAACGATTAACCTCAGGAGTAAAAAGAACTCAGAACAACAATTTAAATATTGCTTTTTACTTATTAAATTAGCAAAATTAAAATAGAACCTAGTAGTCCTTGCTGTTGGCAGAGTGAAGTGGGGTGGACCCTTCATTCTGTATTGATATGATTTCAAGTTACATATCTCTTCTGGAAAGCAAGTTGGTATTATGGCTCTAGAGTCTTAAAGGCATCATTTAGACCTTTTTACTCAGTAAGTGTTTTTTTGTTTGTTTGTTTGTTTTATACCAGTCACACAACAAACATTTAGAATCTATTATGTGCTGGGTTGTGAGTGAGGTCCTAAGGAGAACCTAGGGAGCTTTTAATGATATAGAAAATGCATATGTTTTATTTGTAAAATAGAATATACAATGTAAATAACATCAATTAGGCTAAGAAAATGCATTAGAATGCTAACAGTGTTGGAGTTATGGGTGTTTGTTTAGCTTCTTCATATTCTTATATAAATATTTTATATAAAATATCTTGGGCGCTGTGGCTCACGCCCGTAATCCCTACGTTTTGGGAGGCTGAGGTGGGTGGATCACCTGAGGTCAGGAGTTCGAGACCAGCCTGACCTACATGATGAAACGCTGTCTCTACTAAAAATATTAAAAAATTAGCTGGGCATGGTGGCGGGCACCTGTAATCCCAGCTACTCAGGAGACTGATGCAGGAGAATCGCTTGAACCCCGGCACACAGAGGTTGCCCTGAGATTGCGCCATTGCACTGTAGCCCGGGCAACAAGAGCAAAACTCTGTCTCAAAACAAACAAACAAACAAACAAAAAGAACTCATGTCTTTCAGCAATATATGTGTAGTATTCATCACTCATAAAATTTGTTACTTTACGTGATTGTGGAAGTTTATTTTTTCAAAGAAGCACTATAAAAAGTTTTATAAGAAAAAGAATAGGGCCATTGATTTCAAATCTCATTAGAAATACAACTCAGAATAAAGGAAGCCTAGCAAAAGATTCAGATCTGTTCCTCAAGGATCCAGAACTAGTAGGGTAGCACTATGTATTTATCACAGGAATTTGCCTCTCTTCCTGGATGTGGTTTTTAAATTATAAGGACGGATTTGTTTTAAATTTGTGTCTGCTACAATTTGACATGTCTGTGCTTGTGCTTCCCTCTATAAGAAGTGTGTTTTCATTTCAGTGGCCTCATTGTTCCTGAGAGAGATGGCAATGAGACTGTCCCTGAGGTTGTTGCCACATCAGGTTATGCCCTGCTGCATTTTTTTAGTGATGCTGCTTATAATTTGACTGGATTTAATATTACTTACAGGTAAGATTCTTAAGTCTAGTATTTGTGGTTTCATTCAGGAGACTATCTACTATGTTTTAACAACAATAATGGCTAACATAGATTGAGAGCTTACAGTGTGCCAGGCATAGCATCAGGCAGTTTACATGGATTTTCTCATTTTAAATTTTTCTATAAATTCATTGAGGTCTGGGCTCTGTTTTTCTACTTGTTTATAATTGAGGAAACTGACAGGAAAAGGTTAAGTAGATTGTCAAAGTAAGTGGTGGGAACACAATTTAAACCCAGGTGTTGCTGCTGTTGAACTTCTCCTAGAAGAGGGGGACTTTTCTGCTAATGGACAAAAACATTGGAATTTTACAAAGTACAGCTCAACAAATATTAGTAGTTGTCATGTACTCAATAGTAGGAGAAATCTATATCATTAAAGTACCTTGATAGCTCATTTATCCCCCTCTTTTAAATTCTGAATTACATTGTTTCAAAGCACTGTCAGTACAAGTATCTTATGTTATTATGGGATGCATTATAGTTCAATTCTTTTTATTTTTTTTTTTGAGACAGAGTCTAACTGTCATCCGTGTTGGAGTGCAGTGGCACGATCTCGGCTCACTGCAACCTCCACCTCCTGGGTTCAAGCAATTCTCCTGCCTCAGCCTCCTGAGTAACTGGGATTACAGGCACCCGCCACTATGCCCAGATAATTTTTTTGTATATTTAGTAAAGACGGGGTTTCACCATGTTGGCCAGGCTGGTCTCGAACTCCTGACCGTGATTCTTCTGCCTCTGCCTCCCAAAGTGTTGAGATTATAGTTGTGAGCCACTGTGCCTGGCCATAGTTCAATTCTTACATTAAGTTAAAGTAGCCTGCCTTCTTCCATCTGAAATGAGTAGATAAAATTACTAAGGAATTTTAAATATACCAATCTGGGCAATAACCTTAAATTCTATTATATACAAATTTTCAGAGACTATACAGAGGAATATGTACCATGAGGATGGTGGTTTATTGTTGGCAGTTTGTTTTATTCTTTTCCTTTCCAAACTTGCAACCATGAACTCAGCAATTCTGTAAAGCTTATCATTAGCAGGCTACTAAGAAGAATAGGATAATCCTCCCACCCTTGAGGAGCTGACAGTTCTGCAAAAATCTCCTCCCTCCTTGTAATTTCTTTGTCTTTATGAGTTATTTATTCTTATCCTCTTATTATGAGAATCCAGCAGGGTTGATTTGATTTCATTTCTTGTACCTCAGGCTCTAGCTATGCAGTGTTGAGCAAACCCATTTGGATTGAATCTTTAAGTACTGAAGTTATGCTTGTGAATGAACTGAGACAGTGAGATTCTTAAACCTGTGTGGGAGAAAGTTCTGCTAAGTTAATCGAAGTGTTGTGTTGTGTTCTGTTAATGTAATTTACCCTGCTATTTTCACAGTTTTGACATGTGTCCGAATAACTGCTCAGGCCGAGGAGAGTGTAAGATCAGTAATAACAGCAATACTGTTGAATGTGAATGTTCTGAAAACTGGAAAGGTGAAGCATGTGACATTCCTTACTGTACAGACAACTGTGGTTCTCCTCGTCGAGGCATCTGCAATTCAAGTGATGTCAGAGGATGCTCCTGCTTCTCAGGCTGGCAGGGTAGGAGCTTCTTTCATTTTTATTTTTTCTTCCATTTATAGAACATTCCCAGCTAAATAAATAGATTGACTTTATTCTTAGCACCTATATAGTTTATATTAATAAATACCAGGTAGCATTTAAGCTTGAAACATCCCTCTATCCAGCTGCTTATGAATTTCAATTTCATAGATGTGTGGTCGTGGTCTCTAGAATTATGGAGGGTAGGCCGTTTTTTGTAACCTGTTTGTGAAAGTTGAAGAACTTGGACTCGGTCATAAAAGGATGTAGCAGAGAGCCAAGCTGGGAGATCGGACAAGAGCTGACAATAATGATATTTCCTCAGAAACACACTCTAAGTTCAGAGAAAATTGGAATCAGTTATATATTAGAATCTTTTTTTTTTTTTTTTTTTTTTTTTGAGACGGAGTCTCGCTCTGCCGCCCAGGCTGGAGTGCAGTGGCCGGATCTCAGCTCACTGCAAGCTCCGCCTCCCGGGTTCCCGCCATTCTCCTGCCTCAGCCTCCCCAGTAGCTGGGACTACAGGCGCCCGCCACCTCGCCCGGCTAGTTTTTTGTATTTTTTAGTAGAGACGGGGTTTCACCATGTTAGCCAGGATGGTCTCGATCTCCCGACCTCGTGATCCGCCCGTCTCGGCCTCCCAAAGTGCTGGGATTACAGGCTTGAGCCACCGCGCCCGGCCTTATATATTAGAATCTTAAAAGGAGTTAGTGAATAGTATTATCTACAGAAATAATTAAAGAAGCTTTAGGGAATTCTTTAAGGGGTGAGTGATAATAACTGTTATTAATTTGGTAAACTTACCCCTTCCTCAGAACCTTTTTATTTTGAAAGGAAATATGCTTGTTTAAATTTAGTTTGTTGGGTTTGGCTGACATTGTAGAGTTAATAATTGAAGCATTTCAGTATCTACCATTGTGCAAATATTGCAGCAGAAGCCAAACCTCCCAAGAATGGAGCCTGTCTCTTCAGTTTGTTTAAGTTTCTTGATTTACCAGAAGATGGATAGTTTGTATGATTGCTCCCAGGTCTAGTTATCACACTTATTCGTCCATATCCACAAATTCTGCATCTGCAATTTCAAACAACCGTGTGTAGAAAATATTCAGAAAAAAACACAATGAAAGATAATACGGGCTGGGCATGGTGGCTCACGCCTATAATCCCAGCACTTTGGGAGGCCAAGGCAGGCAGCTCACCTGAGGTCAGGAGTTCGAGACCAGCTTGGCCAACATGGTGAAACCCTGTCTCTACTAAAAAATACAAAAATTTAGCTGGGCATGGTGGCAGGCACCTGTAATCCCAGCTACTCAGGAGACTGAGGCAGGAAAATATCTTGAACCCTGGAGGCGGAGGTTGCAGTGGGCCGAGATCATACCACTGCACTCCAACATGGGTAACAGAGTGAGTAAGATTCTCTCTCAAAAAAAAAGATAATACAAATAAAAGATACACATATGAAAACCATTTATATAGCATTTACATTATGTTAAGTATTATAAGTAATCTAGACGTGAGTTAGAGTATATGGCAGGATGTGTGTAGGTTATATGCAAGTGCTATACCACTAGTTTAAATTAGGGACTTTGAGCATCTGTGGATTTTGGTACCAAGGGGGTCCTGGAACCAATCCCCTGTGGATATTGAGGGATAACTATATATTTTATCCTTAAGATTTTTCATGTGAATTAATTATTTATTTATCTGGGCTTTCTCCTGAGAGTTGCTTAAGCAGGTATTTCATTACCAAAAAAACTCTAACCTGGATATAGTCAAGTCATCATTAGAAAGTATGTGATTTACCCTTGGTCAATGCCCTGAATAAATTAAAATAACAAATTAAAGGATTTGTCTGATATTTAAATGCCAAAGGAAAGACTATTTAAATATTTGTTACATTTAGATGATGAAAACTTGAAATGCAGTAAGCTTTAAAGCTGTATTTTGTGAAGCTAATTCATTATGTTTTTATTAGGTCCTGGATGTTCAGTTCCTGTACCAGCTAACCAGTCATTTTGGACTCGAGAGGAATATTCTAACTTAAAGCTCCCCAGAGCATCTCATAAAGCTGTGGTCAATGGAAACATTATGTGGGTTGTTGGAGGATATATGTTCAACCACTCAGATTACAACATGGTTCTAGCGTAAGTTGTTTTAAACATTTTTGCAAGAAGCTTAGTTTTTTATTTTGAAAATTTATAAAGCACAGATAAGCAAAAATAAATCACCAGTAATTCTACTACCTAAGGAAAATCCCTGTTAATATTTTGGTAGTAGTCTTTCAAATTGTTTTAACATACGTTGAGTTTTTAAAATTGAATGCTACAAAAAATTCATTGTCATGATACGCATTCATGTTTTTCAAATACTGTCTCTGATGTTTTGCTTTAAGTTTTGTAGTAAGTTCTATATAAGTAGGGGATTACTTTATCTTTTAATTTAATTAATAGTTCCAAGGTCAAATGGTTTGAATTCATAGTTTGCTAGTGGAAATTATACCATCGTCTAATACGTCCCAGGGTTCAAAGTCTATTTGCTGATCCCATGCTGCTCATTTTGAAGGGAGAATATGTGTTGTCATAGTGGAATTAGCTGTGGAGGTGGACTTGTAGAAAAAAATTTATAAATTTAATCTTGCTGATTTTATTACCTGGAACTTTTTTCTAGGCATTTTCTATTAATGAAGATTGTCCAAAAAACCAGCATCTGTTCATTAAGGGATTCTGGAAATATGGCAGCGGTGGCCTAGTTTCTGCATCCCCCCATAGTCGTTAAAACACATTGCACAACTAGTCTAGCAAAATCAAAGAAACACAAGCAAATTCTGTAATAAAACTTGGTCAGACTGGGCACAGTGGCTCATGCCTATAACCCCAGCACTTTCAGAGGCTGAGGTGGGTGGATCACTTGAGATCAGGAGTTTGAGACCAGCCTGGCCAACATGATAAAACCCCATCCCTACTAAAAATACAAAAATTCGCCAGGCATGGTGGCGGGCACCTGTAGTCCCAGCTGCTCAGGAGGCTGAGGCAGGAGAATTGCTTGAACCTGGGAGACAGAGGTTGAAGATCAGATGGTTGTAGGTGTGAAGCCTTATTTCTGGACTCTATTCTGTTCCATTGGTCTGTGTATCTGTTTTTGTATTAGTGCCATGCTGTTATTGTTACTGTAGCCCAGTAGTATAGTTTGAAGTCTGGTAACCTGATACCTCCAGCTTTGTTCTTTTTGTGTAGGATTGAGCTGGCCCAATCTCTATTCCCATTGCTGCTGCCTTAGTTCAAGCCCTTTAATTTCTGCAATGGTCAGGTCAGGTTAGTAGTCTTCCTCCAGATTCTTTTCTTTCCCCATACATAGATTCAAACTATTTTCTTTGCCTGGAACACAAATGCTTTTCTGAATATGAATTTAAAGTCACATATTATTATAGTTTTTAGGTATACAGATTTTAGGTATTTTCATGGTTTTCATCAGAAGAACTGTTTGCCAGCAGTGGGAGTGGCACAGGTGGCACCCAGAGATCTCATAGGAGATTAGATCTCTACAGAGCTTTTCTTACACATCCCCCTTCCCTCTGGGGGAAAGAGAGCTGTCAGTCTCTATTCTTTCTTGGCTGGACAACCCAGAGGAAGCCCCAGAGTTGTTCAGGCGCTCATGCTGTCTTTCCAGACTCTACCTCAGCAAGTCATTTGTGTGGGCACCTCCTAGACTGTGTCATTATCAGTAACTGCAGCCCCTCTATAATCTCATTTCTAAATGTTCCACATTCTACCCCCCTTCTGTGGTGGACACTGTTGGTGCCTTGCCCAAATCTCTTTATTTTTACCTGGCTAGTGCACACAGTTACCTGATGCTGTGCAATTTGGCTGTTGTCAGTTCATAGCTGACCCTTTCTCTGAAGAGTTCTCTCAGCAGACTGGAGCTGTCTTACCCACGAACACCTAGATTACTATGCTCTACCCCCAGGATAGCCCCTAGTACAGTGACCAGCCAGTTTAACTGGAACTCTCCCAGTTTTAGCACTGAGTCTTGTGTCCTAAGAAATCCCTCAGTACTGGATGAAATGGGATGGTCACCCTGGCCCCCAGCCGCTGACTGGCTGGATGGAGGTACATGAGTCTGACCCTGCTTCTACATGGGAAAATTCATGTTCCAGGGCTCCCCTTGGGATCAGGCAAAAGCTATACTTCAGCTGAGACCACCTTTTTGCTTATCCTCTCCTTCTTCCTGCTGCCTTGCTTGTCTCACTTCCTGATGTTTGTCAAGAGAGCATTCCCTCAGTAAATCACTTCTACAGGAATCCCCATCTCCAGCTCTGCTTGCAGGGGATCTTACCTGAGACACTTTCCAATCTTTTCACATCTTTCTCTCGAATACCCTAATAGTCTTTGATCTCCACATGGGTCCATAGTTCATTGATTCTTTCTCTTTCCCTCTCCTGTTCTCCTTCTTAACTCTAATATCTTTTCATTTTCAAATTCCTACCACCTTTTCTTCTGTTTTCATTCTCAGTTAATAGCCTTGCTTCCTGCCTCTCTTTTGAAACATAAAGGTCAGAAAACTATTTCCACAAACTCCTGCCACCACATTTCCCCTTCACCTACATCTGTGCCCCTTTATCGTCTTCTGTAGATCAGTGCTGTCTCATAGAAATTTCAGGCATGATGCAAAGGTTCTGTATTACCCTGTCGTGTCACTGGCCACATGTAGTTATTTCACACCTGAAATATGGCTAGTGTGACTTAGGAGCTGAATTTTTTATTTTCCATTGTTTGTTCTCATCTTACTTGATCTGGCACCAACATTTGAAGTAGTTAATCCTTCCCTCCTCTTTTAAACACTTTCTTTAGTTGACTTCCAAGATGCCACGTTCCCTTGATAATTTTTTTAATTCCATATTCCTTCTCAGCCTCTTTAGCTGGTTTCTCTTCAACTGACTGACTTCTGAATGATGTCAGACCAGGGCTTAGCCCTTGGTCCATTGCTGTCTGTTTATTCACTCTTTTGGTGACCTCATATAGTATCTTGGCCTTTTATACTTGGTGACTCCCAAATTTGTATTTGCAGCCTAGACTTTTTACCTGAGCCCCTATCTCCAACTCTTTAATTGATGTGTCAACCTTCTGTCTGTGTACTAGGCATCTTATGCTCAGCATGTCCCACACTTATCTTTTTCTCAAGGCTGCTCTTCCCCCAGATGTCCCTATCTCAGTTAATGGCCACTCCATCCTTCTATTTACTTAAGGCAGAAATCTTGGGTCATCTGCGCCGTCTTGTTTCTTCACACCCCATATTAGTATATTTATTAGTTATCTCTCGCTACATAACAATTTACCACAAACTTAGCAGCTTAAAACCATTTGCATTTATTATCACCATTTTGGTTGATTAGGAGTCCTCTGTAGTCAAGGTGTCAGCTGGTCGGCATTCTCATCTAGAGGCCTGAGTGAGGAAGAATTCATTTCCAAGCTCGCTCAGGTTGCTGGCAGAGTCAATTTCCTTGTGGTTATAAAACTGAGGGTCCCAGCTTTCTGCTGGCTATTGACTTGAGGCTGTCCTCAATTTACGGAGGCTGCCTTCAGCTCCTAGAGCTTACCTCAGTTCTTAGAGGCCACCTAGTTTCTTGTCAGCTGGACTTCACCAGTATAGCTGCTTACTTCATCAGGCTGCAAGGAGAGTCTCTAGACTGAGTCTGCTAGCAGGATGGATGTCACAGAAATGATATCCTATCATCTTTGCCATATTCTGTTGGTTAAAAGCAAGTCATAGATCCTGTTTGCCTCCTAGGGGAGGGGATTATACATGGGTATGAATACCAGGAGGTGGAGATCATGAGGACTACCCCAGTGTCTATCTGACACGATAGGTCAAATCTTGTTAGCTCTACCTTTAGAATCTATCCCAAATCTGATCACCTCTAGTGCTGCCACCATGAGAAGAGAAGGTGAAATTAAAGGCATGAAAGTGATTATGCCTTCTGCTGTTATACTAGATGTTATGAAAGGCGCATATTTGCCTTTACGTGATTTTACCCTAACATCCTCCCTCTCTCTTGACGCAAGAAATCTGGGAGTCTTTAGATATTTCCGTATGTTCTCCTCCTCATACCATAATTTCATATTAAGTGCCCTCAACTCTGTCACCAAATACATGTCATATTTATTCTTTTATCTTTATGTACAGCCTGTTATTATCTCTTACTTAGTCTTCAGCAGTAGATTTCTATCAAATCTGTTCATTTCCATTTATTCCTATTAATCAAATTGCTAAACATGAACTGGGGTGCCATTTAACAACGTAAATAGTATCATTTACTACCTTCTTAAAACCCATCAGTGTCTTACCTTTGGACTTAATGGCCCTGCATGATGTGACCACTGTTTACCTTCCCAGACTCAGTCTTTTCCTATCCTGCCATCATTCACAGCACTTCTGCTCCACCAGCCTGCTTTCTTACCCGAAACGTACAGTGTACATCATTACCTTAAGAGCCTGTGCGTTTGCCATTCCCTTGGTCTAGACTGTTCCTGCTATTGCGCCTCAGGGCTGGTGTCTTCTCACCCTTTAGATCTCAGTGTGGTTATCCCACAGAGAGACCATCTCTGACCATCCAGTTCAGACATTTCTCCCTTTTGTTCTTTTTTATAGTCCTCATTTTCTTTATGGCATTGTTCGTGATTTTTAGTTATGTCAGTGCACGCTGTTGTACTTGCTCATTGTCTGCCTTTGTGAAGTTCTTCAAGGTTAGGGACCTTGTTTACTCACTGCACTCAGAGCTTAGCTCATAGAAGGTACTCAGATAAGTATTTATCAAATAAACGGGAGAGTAAATGATTTATTTCCTTCACAAACATCTGTTCCTGGAAATATTAATATCATCTATTACTTTTTTTTGACTGACATACTTCATGAGCCACATTGTTTTTTGGATCATAAATTTTTTTTCCTACTTGATCAAAACATGATTTTCTACAGCTTTATTGGTTTCATGTAAATATTAGCATAGTTCCAAATAATGAACTTTCATGAAAAGTTAATTTAGTGATTCATTTTAGAAGTAGTGTTTCTGGAACTTAGATAACAGATTTTTATTTATTTATTTAGTTTTGAGACGAAGTCTTGCTCTGAAGCCCAGGCTGGACGACAGATTGTGTGGCACAATCTCGGCTCACTGCAAGCTCTGCCTCCTGGGTTCACACCATTCTCCTGCCTCAGCCTCCTGAGTAGCTCGGACTGCAGGCACCTGTCACCACGCCTGGCTAATTTTTTGTATTTTTAGTAGAGTTGGTGTTTTGTCGAGTTAGCCAGGATGGTCTCAATCTCCTGACCTCATGATCCGCCTGCCTCGGCCTCCCAAAGTGCTGGGATTACAGTCGTGAGCCACTGTGCCCGGCCAGATTACAGATTTTATAGTCATTTATACTCTTACATGAAAGTATTTTAGGAATTGCTCTTACTGTCCATTTTCCTCACAGTCCTGTTAATGCAAAACTTTTTAGTTGCATTAAAAAGCAGTTCCCATTTTGTTACCCAATGGTCCTCTTGTGAAATAAGTGGTCTTGGTCCCCTGGATTAAGATTGGCAGTTGAAACTTTATTACCAAATTTGTTTCTCTTGAGCAGAAGAGAGGTTTTTTTTTCTTAAGTTTAAAAAAATAATAATAAATCGATCAGCGGTCAACCAAATAAGCAAAATAACATCACCGAATCCAATAAATGTGAAAGCAGACTCATGGAACACCAAGTGTGACCTGACCTCTTACATACCCCACGGAAACCACACTGGGGGAGATTCTGATAATTCTCAGTGATAGCCCAAAATCTAGAAGGGAGCAAACTGAGTGAGCATTACTGTTTTTGACTGTAACTAAAGAGTAGGAGACATAGTTGCTGGGGAGCATCAGGTGAAAGGGGGAGAAATTGACCAAGTGGCTGATTCCCTACCCAGAACTCAGGGCTTCTATTATAATTAGAATATGATCTGAGCACTGTGGTAGATCACAAACAAAATTTCAGAGAAGAGGAGAGGAGAGTCTGGGTATTTTATTCTAACTGGCTGCACACCCTCTTATCTGAGCCCCAACATTTCCTTAGACTTCAGAAGAATAGATAGAACATAAAATACCAGCCCTCACACTAAAGCTGTGGAAAGGATGGAAATTCGATAAACTTGTCTTAGATACAGTGGGAACAGAATTAAGAAATCACCCACACTTTGCAAATAAAATGTCTGGAGAGCTATGTCTAACCTCAAACAAGATGAAAGAAGTGGCATCGTAGCTAGTGCAAATATTCTATGATGAAAAAATAAAGAGGAAGAAAGACTGCAGCCTGTAAAATCTAACAAGAACCCATCATGGAAGAAAAGCAGCTTCAAGGAGTAGAAGGAGATTCCTTCCAACTGCTTCGTGCTGCAGATCAACTTAATGAGAATTTGAATTCAGAAAAACAAGCTAGAAGACAAGAAGATGATAGTAACAGAAGAATTGGGAGGTTGTAGGCCTAAAGAAATACGAATAAATTAGATATAGCAAAAATTAGAATGAAAATTTAATTACTGACAGATTGAGATAATTGTGTAATACATTGGAAAAAAAAAAACAGAAAAGCAAAAACACAAGAAGGACAGAAGGTGATCAAATAGAACTATAATTGCTGTCACTGAAGAAAAGAACCTAACGCACGTAACAGATGGGTTGAAACAGCACAAGGCGTTTCAGAAAAATTCTATAGTTTCACAATGACAAAACCTGATTTGATCAAGTTATTGAACTTTTTGTGCTTGGAGTGTATCCAAGAAAAATAAAGTCATTGAACTTTTGGGATAAAGGACAAATTATTATTTGGGAAGCCTCAGGTAGTTTTGTACCGTCTGCTGGCTGGGGTCATGTCTAATCTCCACAGAGCCTTTGCCTTGGTCTTTAGGTGGCCCAATTGGGTTTCCAGTCTGTTATGGAGTTTGAAACCTGTACCCTGTGGTACGTGATGGTCATTGGCTTGCCACCCATCCTAGAGGGGTCGAGGGAGGTGCTGTCACTCTATGGAAGACATCTTTTTCTGAATTCCTGGAGTCTGTGTTTGTTATCTTGGATTCAGTTCCCAGAAGGAGCATTTATCTGGTACTTGGAATTTATGTTTTATTGCATCAGTATTATTGTTCTTGTCTTATTTTTTTTCTCTGTGTTAAGAGATGATTAACATGTTGTTTAAGTGTCTTTTGGCAGTTCACCTTAGCCAGATTTTGGGGACCTGCCAGCACCTAAGTGTCTCTGACAAGCTCTTGGTCTGACTTGTTGACAGAAGAGGAACAAAATACATTAAAAGACAGATTGGGCACTCTCTGTGCCGTTTGACAGAAATGTGGAGACCTGTTTCTGTGCTTCCTCTGTTTCTTTCCTTTCTTTTAAACTTACAGAAATAAGCCTCTGGCTTGAACGTAAGGTCTATATGTGTAGTCGGAAGCTATATGAGTCCTCGGGAATCACCTTTCATAGCCAGAATTCCACAGAAGCTTTGCAGTGGTATGCAGTCCATTTTATAAAAACATATTCCTGGATGGATTTATTTCTATTTGAAGTAAAATACAATATCATGTCATAAAAAAATAGAGGCTGCGGGTAGGCAGAGAAGAAGAGAGAATGAGAATGATTCACACTTCTTCAGGGTTCCAGGCAGAAAAGCACACCATGAAAAAAGAGGGAAATAAGCTGGCCACAGACTTCTCCATAGCAACATTTTCAATACCAGCAGTGTTCAAGGGAGCAACATCTGCAAGGTTCTGGAGGAAAAAAAGGATGGTCCAAGAATAGTATACCCAGCCAAGGTGTCATTCTGCTGTAAACCTGGAAGGTGGATATTCTCAAACAGGAGTGAATTCAGGGAAAGAGTACTATGAGCTCTACTTAAACAAAACAAAACAAAAACCCACTTGACAGTGAAATCCAGAGGAGAATTGAAGAGCTCAAGAAAGAGAGGTTGTGGTAAAGGGACTGTGAGGAGATTGATTCAGCTAAAATTCAGGACTAAGTAACTGTGGAATTACTTTTACTGATTGTAGTGCAAATGTTAAGGACCTGGACATTATAAAAATTTTATAATAAAAATTTGAAGAAGAAATGAGAGGAAATGTGAGTGCTAAGATTTTTCAACTTTTAAAGCAAGAAGTTAGTGAATTCTGTACAAAAATAAATTGCATATAACTTTAAATTCAACCTCTAAATAATTTTTCATGTATTTTTAAGTGTGTAATATTCCAAACATATGTAAAATAATAGTTGGTGCCAATTTATATGCAATTCATATTTAATAGTTGTCACCATTTGTTATATTTGCTTCAGATCGTGTATAAAATATTTAAGATAAAAAAAGGCTTAGAGAAAATTAACACCAATGGATTCACCACCAGGTTAGAAAATAAAACACTGCTAACACAGTTGAAGTCCCTTGCATGTCCCTCCAAAGTCCCAGAGATAACCTGTATCCTGATTTTGGTATCAGTTGTTCATACTTCCATACGTATGTTATACTTTACATATATGTTATACATTATATATATGAAAGTATAGTATAATTAATAAATTTTCTGTTTTTAGTCTTTATAGAAACAATGTTTTGCAGTGTGCTATTTCAGCTTAACATTGTTTTGAGATTTATGTTGACATATGTTGCTGGAGTATATTTTTCATTCTGTATACTTATTCTTTATGTTATCTATCTGTGTATATTACCATTTATTTGTTGATTTTCAATGGATGGACATTTATTTGTATTCCTTTTTTGCTATTGTGACAAACTTTCTTATACCTTTGTGCATATATATGATAATGTTTTTCAAAATGTTTTAAGTACTTGGAATATCCAGGTAAACTTTTATAGAAAAGAAATATTTACTTAAGGTATAGCAATATCATTTGTTTCTTTTTGGTTTATTTTTTTCTATTTTATGAAAATAATTAAAATTAACACTTTATTAACATTATCCTCTTATATGCATAGAAAGATGTCTGGAATGATGTTTACTTAATATTAATGATATTTATTTCTAGATCATGGAATGTGGGAACTTTATAAAAAACTTTTGGCTCTTTATTCTTTGTATTGGTTACATTCTTTATAATGAACATGTATGCTTTTTATAAAAACAGTAGAGTTTTTCTCAAAAGCAAAAACTCAAAAGTGAGTGCTTTAAGATATTGAATGTGATTATTCAATAATGCATGAATAAGTATAAATTGCATGGCAGGATTATAAATTATTTTCTTTTTGGCATTTTTGTATTTTAAGATCTTTATATTCATAGTACAAGTGAAATGCTATAATGGTATTCTGGCTTTTGAAAATGTATTTTTAGTCAATTATATAAAGAAAAGGAAAGATTCGTAATTTTCTTTTACTTATCATTCCTTTTTTGGTACCTATCTTCAGTTTCTCATGATTAAATAAAAGTTATTGTAATAAAATTTTGAGTCCCTTGAGTACAGTGCAACCTTTAAATGATTTAGACTGTTTATAGAAGAGGTTTTCAGGAAGTGCTAGAACCTTCCAGTAGGTTTCTGTTCCTTTCTTTTCCCAGGATTTCATAGTCCAGCTCCTTTTCCCGAGTTATCACTTGTCCAGTGGGCCCAGGTGTCAGGTTTATTTGTGAAGGTGACAGGTGCCCCCCATATCCATGGTAGATTTAGTGAGCATCTCCAAGGTGGATTATATCACAAATAAAATAGTATAAGATATTCTGTCTTATTAGTTGGGTGAAAATGTGATCTGTTTGTTTTGTAGGTATGACCTTGCTTCTAGGGAGTGGCTTCCACTAAACCGTTCTGTGAACAATGTGGTTGTTAGATATGGTCATTCTTTGGCATTATACAAGGTAAAGTATTTCCACTCTGTGCTAAGGAAGAAACTAAGTTTTCCTCAGTTACTTCATGTATTACATAGTTGAAAAGCTACCTCAGTTTTGGTTTTTAATTGGAGACAACTTTTTGTTTGGGGGCATTATAAAATTGCCTAAGTTATAAGTAGAAATTAAAATGGAAACTTTTTTAACTCAAGAGATTCTAATGGTTTCAAACTGTAATGGGGTATTATAATTATGGCACTAAATGGTTAAAGATGTAGATTAAAAAGTGTAGATTAGCTTTTATTCTCATAAGCAAGTTAGCCAAGAATAGCTACATTGTAATGTGGCTGAATAAACATTTTCATTTCCTCATTTTTGTAGATAGATGGTAGGATGAGGCAACTTTATTTTTCCAAGTCCTTTTATACTGTAAAAGATTCATGTGAGGAAGTCCAAAGAAAACTGGTGAAGTATTAGAGATGTAAAATATGATTAGTTTTATTTCCCTTTTTCCTTTTTTTATCCTTTTCCTAGTAATTCACTGAAAGGTGCCTTTGCTAACCCTTAAAATTTTTTAAGTTTATTTTTTATTGAGGTAAAATATACATATATAATGGTACCATCTTTACCATTTTTAAGTGTACAGTTTGGTGGTAATAAATACATTTACATTCTTTTTTTCCTTCTTCATTCTCCCCCGCCAGCCTGCCAGCCTCTGGTAACCACCAGTCTATTCTCCATCTTCATGAGATCCACTTTTTTAGCTCCCACATATGATTAATAATGTGATATTTGTCTCTCTGTGCTTGGCTTATTTTACTTAACATAATGACCTCCAGTTCAATCCATGTTGCTACAAAATGACTGGATGTCATTCTTTTTAACGGCTGAATAATGCTCCATTGTGTATATATACACCACATTTTCTTTATCTAATTATCCATTGATAGACACTTAACATTGATTCCATGTTTTGGCTATTATGAATTGCGCTACAGTTAACATAGGAGTGCAGATATCTCTTTGGTATGTTCATTTCCATTCTTTTGGATACATACCCAATATTGAAATTGTTGGATCATAGGGTAGTTCTATTTTTAGTTTCTTTACTAACCTTTTTTAAGCTGAAAGTAATATTGAGCTTTTGTTCTTCTCTGTTCTCAGATTTAATCTTTTCAGTGTTTTTTAAAATTTTGTTTGCATTTTTTTCCTAGGATAAAATTTACATGTATGGAGGAAAAATTGATTCAACTGGGAATGTGACCAATGAGTTGAGAGTTTTTCACATTCATAATGAGTCATGGGTATTGTTGACTCCTAAGGCAAAGGAGCAGTATGCAGTGGTTGGGCACTCCTCACACATTGTTACGCTGAAGAATGGCCGAGTGGTCATGCTGGTCATCTTTGGTCACTGCCCTCTCTATGGATATATAAGTAATGTGCAGGAATATGATTTGGGTAGGTATATTTTTTCTAGTAGATGCCTTTTGAACATCAGATTCAAAACCTCTAAGCTTATTATTTTGACTGTTTAGAAAGGTTCAACCTCATATTGATTCAGTACTTTATCTTGAAACATAGTTAACACTGGGCCCGGGCGTGGTGACTCATGCCTGTAATCCCAGCACTTTGGGAGGCTGACGTGGGCAGATCACCTAAGGTCAGGAGTTCAAGACCAGCCTGGCACCAACATGGTGAAACCCCGTCTGTACTAAAAATACAAAATTTAGCCCAGCATGGTGGCAGGCACCTATAATCCCAGCTACTCAGGAGGATGAGGCAGGAGAATCGCTTGAACCCGGGAAGTGGAGGTTGCAGTGAGCCAAGATTGCACCACTGCACTCCAGCCTTAGGGAGAGAGTGAGCCTCTGTCTCAAAACAAACAAACAAACAAACAAAAACCAATATAGTTAACATTGATGTATTACCAGTGAAATACAGATTATTGATACTCCTATGTAGTATGTGTTTTTTACTGTCAGTTTGGTAAGGAGCCAAAGATGACCCAAAGTACTCTGGGTATTTAAAATAAATAAAAAGAAAATGGTTCAAAACAACAAATATTGAAGAAAAAAAGTATTTGCCTAGCCCTTTAGAGATTGGTTTAGCGGAGTATGATTTACCCTTAATATAAAATATTTCCTTTGGTTAAATTTCATTGTATCTGTTGTTGTGCAGTAGGAATACCAGGTATAATTAACATTTTGTGAAAAGTAGGCCTATAAAATATATCTGTATATTGGTCACCAAAGGTTATAGGGAATTAAATGTTCATTTGAGTGGAATCTGATCTTTTTATTTTATGTATTGAGACAAGACCTCACTCTCTCACACAGGCTGGAGTGCAGTGGCACAATCATAGCTCACTGCAGCCTTGATGCCCTGTCCTCAAGTGATCCTCCCACCTTAGCCTCCCTAGTAGCTGGGACTACAGGTGCGTGCCACCACTCCTGGCTAATTTTTTAATTTTAGTAGAGATGGGATCTTACTATGTTGCCCAGGCTGGCCAACATAGCAGGCTTCAAGTGATCCTCCTACCTTAGCCTCCCAAAGTGCTGGGATTATACATGTGAGCCACTTCGCCTGGCCCTGAGTGTTTTAAATTTAGTTAATTCTTTTCTTACATGGCATATTAGAACATCAGAACATAGAACAGACTGGAATTAGGCCACATGGCTTTGTTACAAGTTTAGGTGACTTTCTTTAAAATATAAAGATAAAAAAGTATATGTATCAGGTCTCCTGAAATCCCTTCTCGTGCCCTAAGCGCTTTGGACATTTTCAGTAGTAGAGAGGAGGAGCCTGCCATGCTTGCCTTTAACTGTTTTTCCTTTCCAGATAAGAACACGTGGAGTATATTACACACCCAGGGTGCCCTTGTGCAAGGGGGTTACGGCCATAGCAGTGTTTATGACCACAGGACCAGGGCCCTGTATGTTCATGGTGGCTACAAGGCTTTCAGTGCCAATAAGTACCGGCTTGCAGATGATCTCTACCGATATCATGTGGATACCCAGATGTGGTGGGTACTTTTTCTTGAGCTTTCACTTTAAGGTGTAAATTCTGTAGAGGCAGTTGTTGAGAAAATATTGTGCTATCTTTTTGTTTTTATGCCTGGCAGTTAATTCTGTTCAGCGTTGTATATAGAGAAATTGGGAAATAAACAGAGGGTAATAAAGTAGCTAGTATTTGTTTTGTTGCATTATTCTGTAATTCTGTAGTAGGTTGGTTAGAGAATGCTTAGTTTTTTTTAACAAATATAAAGCAAATTTGAGTTATGAAATAATGTAATTATAAAGCGATGGTTTCTCTTCTTTTTCCTCACCTATTTGATACCCTGCTATGGATACTGTTTTATATTCTGTCATAAAAATTATCATTTTGAGTAGCTGTGGAATACTCCATTTTGTGGGTATGCTGAGACTGTGCAGGTGAAAGTTTTGGTTTCCTTCTAGTTTTTATGTTATTGAGAAACCATTATGCATTAAGCTTCTGTCAATATTTCACATGATTTCTGCCCAGAAACTAGAATTATATAGCTACAGAGTATGAAGAGTTTAAGGTTCTTAATATTTGCCAAAATTCTTACAGGTCTTTAAAATTATATATATTTATTGTCGAAAAAGTTACTTATATGTAGGGAAAAATCTGGAAGGATTTGTACCTTTGGGTCTGAGGTTAATAAAGTGGTTGTGCTTGCATTAGCAGATACATAAATATTCTTTAAAAACTAACCTTGTATTTATTATTTCTAAATAAACTCAAAAGGACCATTCTTAAGGACAGCCGATTTTTCCGTTACTTGCACACAGCTGTGATAGTGAGTGGAACCATGCTAGTATTTGGAGGAAACACACACAATGACACATCTATGAGCCATGGTGCCAAATGCTTCTCTTCAGATTTCATGGCTTATGACATTGGTAAGTTTCCCAAAACCATTTTAGCTTCAGGCATCTTTTTGTCTATAAGCAACATTTAAAAGGAGACTGGAAATATTGCCAGTTAAAAATGGTCAGGCCTGGCTAACCTGGTGAAACCCCGTCTCTACTAAAAAATACAAAAAACTTGCCGGGGCGAGGTGGCGGGCGCCTGTAGTCCCAGCTACTTGGGAGGCTGAGGCAGGAGAATGGCGTAAACCCGGGAGGCGGAGCTTGCAGTGAGCTGAGATGAGATCCGGCCACTGCACTCCAGCCCGGGCGACAAAGCGAGACTCCGTCTCAAAAAAAAAAAAAGGTCAGGCCATTTGAAAGAGGTCCAAATGGTATTTTTTATATTCCTTTGACTAATGTTACATATCTGATAAAAATTATTTCTACATTAAATTCTTTTTGAAATAACTCCTGTTAATTGCTTGAATGCTAATTTTTGAGGCTGAGTTAAGGTGTCTAGTCTCTCCTTTGTAATGTTATGCCTACCTGGTAGTGTTACATAGTTGCAACCACCAGCATTGTGTTAAAATTGGTTCACTTATTAGCTTTATCTCATTCCCTAGAAAACTGGTTTCTCACATGGTCTTGGTGTAGCAATATACTAGACCGGAAGAGGGCAGTATTTGTTCATGCAAAGCAAATGCATAGTGGATGATTTCTTTCATAAAAATCATCAGATGTTCATTTTAAACAAATCATTATTTTTTTGCTTGTGGTAAAATACACATAAAATTTACCATCCTAACTATATTTAAATGTCTAGTTTAGTGATATTAAACACATTCATATTTTAAATGTCTAGTTTAGTGATATTAAACACATTCATAATGTTATAAATCCATCACTGCCGTCCATCCTCAGAACTTTTCTTCATCTTGTAAGACTGAAGCTCTATACCCATTAAACAATAATGTCCCATTTCTTCCTCCCCACAATGCCTGGCAACCACTATTCTACAGTCTGTCTCTGTGATTTTGACTATTCCAAGTTAGACATTTGTTTTTAACAGACATTTATGTGCCAGCCACTCAGTTTGTACATTGAGAAGATCAGATGAATAACTTAAAGCCCTTAGCCTCAAAGTGGAAGAGGTAGAGAAATGAGCAGACAATAGAATTGCACTTCAGGGTATTTCTGGCTGAAAAGAATGTATGAGAGCACCTCTGAGTACCCTTTAAGTCATGGAGGGTAAGAGTGATGATAAACAGGGAACACTTTCTTGAAGAGGGGCCATCCCCTCTGGACACACTAGGTGTCAAGTAGGTGAAGTTAGGCAGCACTTGCCGGTCAGAGGAAACCCACTTTGCAGAGACACAGAGATAGAAAAGACCGGCACATATTTAGGGCTCAGAGAGTGAGACACTGAGTGTGAGGTTGGCATGGTATAGCAGCACCAGTTGGTATTGGATCCAGAAGAGATGTTGCTAGTATGGGTCACAACAGAGGAAAATTAATCAATCTAGGGCATCTAGGAAAGGACTTTTAAAAATTAGATAACATTTAAATTTTTTGAAATTTCGTTTTCCACCTGTATTTTTCCATTTTATTTACTAAATTTGGGCAAATCAATATAGAAAAGAGTGGAAGATAGTTATGAAACCCATATGTTTTGCTGATACAAGCTTTGTAGAATGTAAAGTTTGCTTGCTTTAAAAAACATTCTTGGCCGGGCGTGGTGGCTCACGTCTGTAATCCCAGCACTTTGGGAGGCCAAGGTGGGCAGATCACGAGGTCAGGAGATTGAGACCATCCTGGCTAACACAGTGAAACCCCGTCTCTACTAAAAATACAAAAAATTTGCCAGGCATGGTGGCAGGCACCTGTAGTCCCAGCTATTTGGGAGGCTGAGGCAGGAGAATGGCATGAACCTGGGAGGTGGAGCTTGCAGTGAGCCGAGATCACACAACTGCATTCCAGCCTGGGCAACAGAGCAAGACTCTGTCTAAAAAAATAAATAAATAAAAAATAAACAACAACAACATTCTAGTGGATCAAACTGATAGGCAATCGGGTGAGTAATCCATATGTCATGGGTTTTGGGTGCGTTTGCTAGTCAGAATTGCGGTGTGATCCCGCCTTTTTTCCATGCCTCATTGCTCTGCTGCTGCTGCATTTTAACCCAGAAATGATGTAACTGAGAAAATTGAGAGGCATGTTTTATGAGGTTCTCTTTGTTGTAGTATTCTTCCCAAAGAAAATGTCAGGTCCTATTGATTAGAAATGGTAGTCCCTTTTAAAATATATTTTTCTTTCTCCTAGCCTGTGACCGCTGGTCAGTGCTTCCCAGACCTGATCTCCACCATGATGTCAACAGATTTGGCCATTCAGCAGTCTTACACAACAGGTAATTGGAGAAGTATTGCTCCTTTTCTTTTGTGTTTAAAATGAAAATAAAGGGCAGGGCACAGTGGCTCACACCTGTAATTCCAACACTTTGGGAGGCCGAGGCGAGTGGGAATACGAGGTCAGGAGATCGAGACCGTCCTGGCCAACATGGTTAAACCCCATCTTTACTAAAAATACAAAAATTAGCTGGGCTTGGTAGTACGTGTCTGTAATCCCCCCTACTTGGGAGGCTGAGGCAGGAGATCACTTGAACCAGGAATCCTGAGGCAGAAGAATCGCTTGAACCAGGGAGTCAGAGGTTTCAGTGAGACGAGATCACACCACAGCACTCTAGCCTGGCAACAGGGCAAGACTACATCTCAAAAAAAAAAAAGAAAAGAAAAAAGAAAATGAAGTAAAGTGGAATTGGACTTAACATATTATTCACAAGATTCCCTCATCCCAGTAGTTTTTTTACAGGATTATGTGGGTATAAATATTCTGATTGATGTTTAAAATATTTGATGTGGAGGTGAATTACGTTGAATGCCATGTTTGTTGATCTGGTTTTGTTAGCACGCAAGAGCACGCTTTTTGGTGTGGTCTGGGTGCCTGGGCAACAAAAGTTACGTGCATGTCCTTGTCTTATGTCCTTTGTTATCATTTGTGGTACTCAAGTTTCTAGTAGTTGTATCTGAATTGTAAGGAGTTTGGAAAAGAGGAGAGAGGGCACTTCAGATGGGGGATAAGATAGGAGAACAGAGGTGGGGAGATTGTGAAGCTTAATATAGATCAAGTCTGTAGGCTCTGGATAATCAGAAGTCTGCAGTTCATTGCATTGTATTGCTCAAAAATGCCTGGCCCAAACTACCAGAGCTCTTAAAAAAATCGGCCCTTGGAGAAGTCTCAGTCAAATAAGGGAGATTCAGAGTGGCCACTCTACTTGCTCCTTACAGTGTGCTTTAGAGATTTTTAAGAAGTTAAACAGCCTGATTATGTTATTAATTTTTCTCATTCAGTTTCTGCTGTTATTACTGCTGTCTGCTTTCCCTTTTAAAATTCTAAGCCATATAAATCCTAAGAATGTTTAAGTGTTAGAATGCCTGTATCATGTTAGAATTCCTTTGGCTTTTGAAATTTCTGTTGTAATGATGAAAGACGGATGAGGAAGGTAATTTAACTTAGATTAGGAAAGATGAGAAGCCAGGCACGGTGGCTCATGCCTGTAATCCCAGCACTTTGGGAGGCCAAGGAGGGCAGATCACTGGAGCCCAGGAGTTCAAGACCACCCTAGCAACAGCATGGCAAAACCCCTGTCTCTACTAAAAATACAAAAAAAATTAGCCAGGCGTGGTGGCAGGCGCCTGTAGTCCCAACTACTCGGGAGGCTGAGGCAGGAGAATCACTTGAACCCAGGAGGTGGAGATTGCAGTGAGCCGAGATTATGCCACTGCATTCCAGCCTGCGTGACAGCGAGACTGTCTCAAAAAAAAAAAAAAGAAAAGGTGAGAAAGTGACATATTTTGGAGATGTTGTGAAGGAATAGTTGACACAATTTAGGAACTAGCTACTAGGAAAAGGTGCTATCTTTTATAAGGTAATTATTTAGTTTTTTAGCAATGTGTATGGTTTTACTGTGAGAACATTTGACAGAGACTAAAATGGAAGGATTTCTGGCCACCTTGCTAATTTGATGTGTTATTATAAATCATAATCTGGGATTTCCTCAGTACAGAAGACCGTTAAACCTTTCTAGCAAGTGCCTCTTGAGATTTTCATCTGGAATGCAGTGGGACCATTTTGTCATTATGCCTGCGGGAGCCTGGCCTCAACTGTCTTCGTTTGTGTTCCTAGTTCTCCTAGCACAGGATTTGGCACGTAATAGACATTTGCTAAATTGCAGGTATTAGTACAGTAATAACTAGTAAACAAATGAATCTTTTATAAAACATTCTTAAGTTTTATTCAAACTCAGAGTAAGTTGAGACTTTACCATAAAATATAATTTAACCATGAGTCAAAATTGGGAATACCTTGCCTGAGTTGTAATTTTTTTTTTTAATGTGATTCCAGTGGTATGTTTGAACCCTGATATGTAAGTATCTGTGTGTTAAGATACGATTGGGTAGGTGGCAGGGGACCCTGAGGGAGGCCAGCTACTAAAAGGCCATAGTTTTGGTTTAATTTTATGAAATAATTTACTGAAAAAGAAACTTTGATTCACATCATTTCTTCATGCTTTAAGTGGGTCAACAGCACTGAGTGAGCTGTGCCTTCCTTAGTTGTCATTGAGGTTTTGAGGGAGGCAGGAAGGAGGAGGAGAGATAGCTGTGACTCACCAGGGTGGCAGGAGATGCAGCTGTGCCTCTCAGTTGCCTGCTCCATGTGTCTCTGAGGGACTCTCCCTAACTTTGCAGAGCCCCTGTGCAACCAGATGGATTCACAATTGCTGAGAACACCAACTGTACTGGGAAGAGGAAGTTGCTTATTTGGTTTAAGCAACAAATTAACTAGTTGATCTAGCCTGCTTAATGTGGTACTGAGTAAGCCGATAGCAAGGTTAAAAATGAAACCTGGCGGGCACGGTGGCTCAAGCGTGTAATCCCGGCACTTTGGGAGGCCGAGACGGGCGGATCATGAGGTCAGGAGATTGAGACCATCCTGGCTAACACGATGAAACCCCATCTCTACTAAAAATACAAAAAAATTAGCCGGGCGTGGTGGCAGGCACCTGTAGTCCCAGCTTCTCGGGAATCTGAGGCAGCAGAATGGTGTGAACCCAGGAGGCGAAGCTTGCAGTGAGCCGAGATCACGCCGCGAGCCTGTTATCCCAGCATTTTGGGAGGCCAAGGCCAGAGGATCGCTTGAGCCCAGGAGTTTGAGGCTGCAGTGAGCTGTGATGGCGCCACTGCACTCCAGCCTGGGTGACAGAGTGAGACCCTAACTCAAAAAATATATATTTCAGATTGCAATTTATTTTCATTATTCACAACTCTATAAAGTAACTATACACACTGAATTCTTGAATATTGAATTATTTCTGCTAGGGAAATACAGGGTTATGTTTCTGTAAGCCTCTGATGATGACATTTTCATCAACCAGTCAGCATACATAACTTTCTTTTTTGTGTGTTTCTATTTAAAAACATCTTATTTAATATATATTCTTGATTTATTAACATCGAGCTCACAGCCAACAGCACTTTAACTCATGCCTGAACAAAGCTTATGTAACACAAGTACTTTCTCAGTAAGGCTCATCACAGCCTTCTTACACTTAGGGACACTAGACAGCACTTCAGCACTGCATAGGGGGCCATTTTCAACAGTGAAAGCACTAACACAAGGTACAAAAATACATAAAATATGGCACTAGATAGATCATGAAAAGGACACTTGTTTGTAGTGTGAGAGTTGAAACAAGAAGGGAGAGCATCTCCTTGTTTGACCTTAGCCGGGAATATGCATGTGTGTCAAGTCCGATTTTTTGCCATTCTTTGCACACACATGCTGGTAAATGACCGTGAAACTACTGCAAGTATTGATTTTGGAGTTAGAAATAAATTTTGTAAGTAGGTGAATTTGCAAATATGGAATCTACAATCTGCAGATAATGGTCATGCATCGCTGAATGTTAGGGATACGTTCTGAGAAATGCATCCGTAGGCAATTTCATCATTGTGCCAACATCACAGAGTGTACTTACATAAACCTAAGCTACACATCTAGGCTATATGGTATGGCTTGTTGCTCCTAGCTACAAGCCTGTGCAGCATGTTACTATACTGAATACTGTAGGTCATTGTAATGCAGTGGTAAGTATTTGCGTGTCCAAGCATATCTAAATGTAGAGAAGTACAGTAAAAATGCAGTATGAAAGATAAAAAAATGTACACCTGTACAGGCCACTTACCATGGCCTGTAAGGGAGGGAGCATGCAGGACTGGAAGTTGTTCTGGGGAGGTCCGTGAGTGAGTGGACTCAACACTACTGTATACTTTGTAAACACTGTACACTTAGACTACACTAAATTTATTTAAAAATTGTTTTCTTCAATAATAAATTAACCTTAGCTTACTAGATGACAGCCATTGTACATGCCATCCATCATTGATGGAAACACCATTATCCAGCACCACGTGACTATAATGAGGATTGGCTGTCTTTTAAAGATGAAGACTTAATTTTAAAAACACAGACCCTATACAGTTATCACACTTTTAAAGTTAATTCTTTAAGCCAGGGGTGGTGGCTCACGCCTGTAATCCCAGCACTTCGGGAGGCCAAGGCAGGAGGATTGCTTGAGTCCAGGAGTTCAACACCAGCCTGGGCAGCACAACAAGACCTCATTTCTACTAGAAATACAAAAATTAGCTGGGCATGGTGGTGCGCGCCTGTTGTCCCAACTACTCAGGAGGTTGAGGTGGGAGGATTACTTGAGCCCACGAATTTGAGGTTGCACTGAGCTATGGTGGTGCCATTGCACTCCAGCCTGGGTAACAGAGCAAGACTCCAACTCGAAAAAAAAAAAGAAAAAAGTTATTCTTTAATATCTCTCAAGTGTCCATTCAGTGTTTACATCTCCTAATTGTCTCAATTTTTTTTTAAGTTTAGTTCATTCAACTCAGAATCCAAATGAGATCCATATGTTACAATTGGTTAAAATGTCTCTGTAGTTTCTCTTAATCTGTAGGGACCCCATCCATCATTTTCCCCCTTACTTGTTAAAGAGTCTGGGTTGTTTGTCCTGTAGAGTTTCCCATAGTCCAGATTTTGATTGTTGTATTCTGGGCTTTCATATAACATATTGTTCTCTCTCCTAAAATTGCTGCAAATTAACTTGATCAGATTCTCTTCAGTATTTTGGCAAGATCACTTCATAGGTTTCTTTCCCTTTGTTTACCAATTTTCAAAATAATGTACTGATTTCTTAGCATTGTCCAAAGATGACAAATTAGGTTTTTTTTTTTTTTCCAGGGATGAGAGATGTGTATCATTATGAACTCATGGATTTAAAAATATTTCATGTGTTTTAATCTATTGTAATTTGTGTTTTTATTAAATTTCAAACATTTTCCATCTTTAGCCGATGAGGGCATCTTTACATTAGCTTTTGAGTTTATCTGATACTACCCTAGTCTTCTTTTCTTTCCAGTATAACAAGATCTGCTGGACTCATTGTGAACATTTCTTCATCCAGACATGAAATTAGGTTTTTCTCTAAAAAGTTCTAGTATTTAAGGGGTGACAGGAGGGAGAAAGAATGGTTTCTAGATACGCGCAATCTAAGCACTAGTTATATTCATTGCTACTGGGTTGGCTATTGTTTCTAGGTTTTTTAAGAAGGCAGGTTAAAGAGAAACTGTAGTGTCCTTTTTTAAAAGGAAAATGAATTATGTCTGCATGTTTGTGTGTTTGACCTTCTTGTTCCCTCAGTAGATAAATGGCTACATTGTTTAAATACTTTTCTCTGCATTCCATTTTCCCCCCACATAACAGTATGTACTGGTGCTTACTCCGTAGAAGTATGTAGAAATTTTCCTCATTCCTTTTACATCTGCCTAATATTTCATTATGTGGATGTATTATAGTTTGTCACATCCCCAATTGATGGACATTTGGGGCTATTTGAGTCTTTTGCTATTATCATTAACCCATTTATGCCTAGTGTTCCATTATTGGAAAGCTAAGCTTGTGGGAGTTATTTATATCCTACTGCTCAAGGTCATCCCCAAGGTCTGATTTTTCACAAAAAAAATGTGCCCTCTGGCATAAGTGGTTAGTGCTGTACTAAATAGCCTCATGTACTTCTTCTTGTATTTTTACTGTTCTGTCTTTGTGATAGACTTCTAGAAATGTGATTTCAGATTCAAAAAGTAAATGCAAAGTTTTGTTAGAGCTTGCCAAATCTCTCTGTACTGCATCATTTTACATGCCCAGCAGTAGTGTGTGAGAGTGACTGTTGCCCCATAGTCTCACCAATCCATATATTGTCAATTGTTTGTGCTGTTTTTGTTTTACTAGTCTTACAGGTGAGAAATGCTACCTCAGTATAGTTTTAATTTGCATTTTTCTTGCACTGAAATTAGAGCATCTCCTCATATGTTTAAGGTCATTTGCATTTTTTCTCTGCAAACTGGCTGAAGCCCCCCTCTATGTTAGGGATAGTCCTTTTCCTATAACATAACTTGTAAATCTTTTTTTCATAGCATATCATTTGTTATTTTACTTTGCTTATAGCATTATTTCCATGTAAAACGTCTTTTTAATTCATATAACCAGATTTTTCAATCTTTTTTTCCCCTACCTTCTGGATTTTAAGTATTTTTTTTTTTTTCCACTCTCAGGTTATAGAGAAATACACCCATTATTCTAGTACTTGTGTGTTTTGTTTTTTTCAGAAGGTGTGGAATTTATCCTGGAATATAGAGAAATAGATTCAATTTTATTTTTTTCCATATGTTTAGTTATCTTGATACCATTTACTAAAAAGACCACCTTTTCCCACTAATGTAAGATGCCACTTTTACCGTCTACTAAATGTACATGTGTGCTTTTATCTGTTTATGATTGGGCTCATATCCATGTACCAGTACACGACTTTAATTGTACCAGTATACAACTTTAATTACAGAGGCTTTTACCTGTGCTTTAAATTTGTACATTTTTATTTTTAATATTTAAAAAGTGAAGATATAGAATTGCTGTTTAGTGTTAAAAGATGTGAGCATATCCTGACACTGAAATTTTCCAGTGACTCATGGTTAAAAGTCACCAGGCTATCATGAGAACTTTTTAATACAGTAGCTATGATGAGGAGGCAGCTTATTGGAACTATTCTGGGTGGTTATAGGCCAGGATGAAAGGATGAATTTGGAAAGGAAGGGAACAAGAATATTTTTTAAGACCTTGAAAAATAGTTTCTTAGAAGACTAATGCATATGTAAGATTTGTTTGAAGATTGTCTGTAAAAAGTGTATCATGGTAGCTGGATGTGGTGGCGTGTGCCTGTAGTCCCAGCTACTCAGGAGGCTGAGGCGAGAGGATCTCTTGAGCCCAGGAGTTTGAGACCAGCCTAGGCAACAGAGTAAGACCCTGTCTCCAAAAAAAAAAAAAAAAAAAAAAAAAAGTATAGCATGCAATTGTTATCTAAGTCTCTGGTAAATTTATTCTCTCCCTTTTTCCTCTTAGCACCATGTATGTGTTCGGTGGTTTCAATAGTCTCCTTCTCAGTGACATCCTGGTATTCACCTCGGAACAGTGTGATGGGCATCGGAGTGAAGCCGCTTGTTTAGCAGCAGGACCTGGTATCCGGTGTGTGTGGGACACAGGGTCATCTCAGTGTATCTCGTGGGCGCTGGCAACTGATGAACAAGAAGAAAAGTTAAAATCAGAATGTTTTTCCAAAAGAAGTATGTTTTTTTTTCCCTGCTTAGATTTTAATGAATTTGAGACCTCATTTTATCTGAATTGTGAAGGAACTTAGCATATGTATACTTTTTATGTTCACCTTATTATCCAAGATTATTCAGTAATAACTTGTAGAAAGTGTTTTTGGATATTTGAAAATTGGTTTGTAAACATCTCGAATGGGGACATGCCATGTGGCTTGTAGAGGCTGTCTGCGAGTGATGGAGACATAACCTTCTTGGCATTGCGTAGACTTTGCATACTGACCCCAGATCCTGGCTGTGGTTGCTCTGAGGCAGTGCCATCCAGTAGAACTTTTTTTTTGATGACGGAAATGTTCTGTGTCTGGACTGTCCCGATATGGTAGCCACTAGCCACGTGGGCTATCAAATACTTGAAATGTTAATTTAATTTTAATTTAAAATACATTTGTGGTTACTAGCTACCATATTGGATGCAGATCTAACATTAAGGATGAAATTAGGAGAGTCAGCCCAGAAAAGCCATGTTGAAGTAAATTATTTTGGTGGAGAGAGGGAGAGCTGCTGTCCTTGCAAAGTATTTTTGTCTAGCTTCTCTAGTTGGATACAACAGTGATATCAAGACAGACAGTTACTGAGGATGGGCAATGATCCCTGCTTCTAGAACCTCCCCTCATGTTTTCCAAGCTGTTTTCTTCCTTCTACCTGCTTTGCTGCTTGTCCTGTATTGCTGTGACATAGAGCACAATGCAGTACAGTGAAGCGATATATTTAAAAATTCTTTTTAATTTTATTTTTATTTATTTATTTTTTGAGACGGAGTCTCTGTCGCTCAGGCTGGAGTACAGCAGCACGATCTCAGCTCACTACAACCTCCACCTCCCAGGTTCAAGTGATTCTCATGCCTCAGCCTGTAATACTCAAGTAGCTGGGATTACAGTCACCTGCCACCATGCCCGGCTAGTTTTTGTATTTTTAGTAGAGACAGGGTTTTACCATGTTGGCCAGGCTGGTCTGGAACTCCTGACCTCAAGTGATCTGCCCCCCCCTCAGCCTCCCAAAGTGTTGGGATTACAGGCATGAGCTACTGTGCATGGCCAGAAAGTTCTTTAAAAGGAAGAATGTTGTCTCTACAAGATATTTATTTACATCAATTAAAGTATGTTGGCTGAATTTCTTACTAGTAGGATTGGTGTTGCAGTTAACTTGAGAGTTATGATGGATAGAAGCAGCTTTCATTCCTGGAATGCTGCTCCAAGTTAAACTTTCACGAACATAAATTCTCAGTAAGAACACCCTGGGCTGGCCACAGGGGCTCATGCCTGTAATCCCAGCACTTTGGGAGGCTGAGGCACAGGGATTGCTTGAGCCCAGGAGTTCAAGACTAGCCTGGGCAACATAGTGAGACCCTGTCTCTACCAAAAACACAAAAATTAGCCAGATGTGGGCGTGGTGGTGCACGCCTGTAGTCCCAGCTACTAGGATGGCTGAGGCGAGAACGCTTGAGCCCAGGATGTTGAGGCTGCAGTGAGGCATGATTATGCCACTGCACTCCAGCCTGGGTGACAGAATGAGATTCTGTCTGAAAAAAAAAAACAAAAAAACAGGCCACTCAGGCAACTCACCCAGGTTCATTGGTGGGCTGGTGGGTGCTGGAGAACCAAGATTACCAGAACTTAGCAGGGTTAGTTCGTCTCTTGAAAGGGATAAAATCAGTGAAATAGTTCATTTTTAAACCAAATTTTAAAAGTTCAAATTACATGTGCATGTTTATAGGAAATAGTGTTGAATTACCTTAGGTGTTCATATCAACCTATTTGCTGTCATCTCATCTGAGACTTCAGTTCCCTGTTTCACCCCACTTTCTGGGTGATCCCAATCCTTGGGATAATGACCAGGACAGCAAGAGCAGCCTAAGCTGCTGACTGCTGGGGTCTTTGTGAGGGTGGGACCTGCTTTTCTTGTTTGTGAATTCCCCCATGTGCGGAGTTTTTGAGATTCCGTCTCAAAAAATAAATAAATAAAAACAAAATAAAAAAGAACTTTTTAATATATTGCTTCACTGTACTGCATTGTACACGAGATGGTTGAACAGATGAGACAACATGGTTGTGCAGCTTCTCTTTTTTTTTTTTGGGCGGGGAGGACGGAGTCTCACTCTGTAGCCCAGGCTGGAGTGCAGTGGTGCAATTTCAGCTCACTGCAACCTCCACCTCCCAGGTCCTGATTCAAGCAGTTCTCCTACCTCAGCCTCCTGAGTAGCTGGGATTATAAGAACGCACCACTATGCCCAGCTAATTTTTCTATTTTTAGTAGAGACAGGATTTCACCATGTTGGCCAGGCTGGTCTTGAATTCCTGACCTTGTGATCCGCCCGCCTTGGCCTTCCAAAGTGCTGGGATTACAGGCATGAGCCATTGCGTCCAGCTGTGCAGCTTCTCTTTTCTAGAGTCAACAGGAGATGCAGCAGGTCTGTAGTAGCCCAGAAGTTCTCAAACTTGCACTCTTGAATTTACATGTACGTACAAAATGCAGCTCAGCCTAATGCTTCCTGCACAGTTCTGTGGTGCTGCCTACTTCCTGTGCCCAAATTAGCCTTGCATTTATAACTAGGAGGAATGACTTGATCTCCTACAATATTTTGGCTCCTGGGCTTCTTTGATGTTCGTTCTATTACTAGTTGATTTTTTTTTCTTGGAAAGAAAAGTATTCAAAGAGCCAGAATTTACTTTCATTATATCTTATAGTAGTTAAATTAACCTATCCTTGTTTTCACTTTCTGTGTACTTCTTTCTTTGGGGTACAAAGCAGTGTTTCTTTAGATTGTCTATCTCTAAATATTATTTTAACCAAAACATACCAAATATATTTTCTTGCCAGTTTCATTCTTCATTTTAGTTCTTAACCATTGTTACGATTTTTTTTAACTTCAGTCTCCGATTGTGCTCAACTGAAGTTGTCCCAGTTGATGAGATTTTCTTTTCTTTGTAGCTCTTGACCATGACAGATGTGACCAGCACACGGATTGTTACAGCTGCACAGCCAACACCAATGACTGCCACTGGTGCAATGACCATTGTGTCCCCAGGAACCACAGCTGCACGGAAGGCCAGGTCAGAGGCTGTTTCTCAAAGATTTCAGAAAAATCCTAATTTGTCATAGGTTTAGCTTTTATAGTGTATATGATATAAATAATGGCCCAGAGTTACTTTTCAAATGGGTTTCTATTTGGATTTTATTATCCCTGAGGTTTTCCTTCAGGAAGAGATGTTCTTTATATTCCAAGGGTCCTACTAGCCCCGGGAATTTGTTGTGTTTTAGAAGAAGGTAGGACTGTTGTCCATGGGCATGGCCATGACTAAGCACTGGATCCTTAGTTTGAGGCATCTAATAGTGACCTCACTTTACCAGTGCCAGATTTTGATAGCAAGTTAGGGTTTGAGACTGAGAGTGAGTCAGGTGTATAGTGGCCCACATTGAACTGTGGAAATGACAGACTTTGCAAAATCTCCTTGTTTTATATCTTGGTTTGGCATAATCTCACTGCTCATCATATATAGATTTTTAAATTTAAGTTATAAGATGACCCAGGCTTTTATAGTTTTTGACAGCTTACAAGACTTTTTTTTTTGTCAGTCTCATGCAGTTCATAAAATAGAAAACTTTCAGACTTTTGAAGTGAGCATTTGAAAAGCAGCAAGTTCAACATTCCCATTTTACAGATGAGCAGGTTGAGGCATGGTGTTTAAAAGAGTGGGCTGCTTCCTTGCCAGTTAAAAGCATGTCCTTGAGTAGAACATTACATTGTAGTGTTCCCACTGCAGAGCTACTGCAACTTTATGTCTCTCTGTCTGTCTGTCTGTCTGTCTGTCTATCTATCTATCTATCTATCTATCTATCTATCTATCTATTTATCTATTTATTTGCAGTTTGCTTCCTCAATTAGATTTTATTGTCTACAGTGTCCTGTTGGTCCTCACCATAAGTTCTCTCTGTGGATACAGGAGAAAAGCTTTTGTCCACTGTGTTCTAGATCTCCATTTTTAGGTATGAGAATTGCCCCAAGGATAACCCCATGTACTACTGTAACAAGAAGACCAGCTGCAGGAGCTGTGCCCTGGACCAGAATTGCCAGTGGGAGCCCCGGAATCAGGAGTGCATTGCCCTGCCCGGTAGGCCTTGCAGGGTCATCTTGGTGTGTGTGGGTCCAAGACTTCACCCCATTTCACCCAACACTGTGCAGCCTAGCTTGAACCTAGCAGAGGGGAAAAGCTAATTCTGTCCATTCATCCCCCACACCAGTATTATGAGGTATTTTGTTTTTAACTAAAATACGGTTCTTAAGTATTTCCTCCTACTGTCCTTTGAAATGAAGTGAAATGTCCTTCACTGCTCTGGAGAATTGAGTGACAGCTTGGTTCTGTATCACTGAGCCTGCTCCTTGTCTCTTTCCCATCCACCTTCAATAACCTGGGACTAGAACATGACGTCTCAGCAGCCAGTCTGCTGAGCACTTTATGGAGAGTACTTCTTGTTAACCACTGGGATTTATTTGTCGGCACCTGCTAATGGGCCTTCTCTGAGAAGGAGAGGATGGATATTTCTGTCAGCAGCACCTTTTAGGAGTGATCTCCAGCCCTGAAAACCTCAATATATGCTACTTCTGAGGTTCAGGATGATGAATTCAGGGCCTGAGACCAGCCAGCCATGATTGAACCACTGTAATATATTTGTTCAACTAGGATGGTCCAGGAAGGGGAACTTCCTTGGCTCTGCACAACATCTGAGCTTGTTCAGGGAAGTTGGTTTGGACCAGGCCCTTTTTGAATGTCCCTTGGAAATTTTTGATTCAGCTTGCAGAGTGGGACTCTTTTCTTTATCTCAGTGTGTCCCAAATTTTAAGGTACAGCAAAAGACCTGGGAATTTTGCGAAAGGCATATTCTGGTGCAAATGCGGGGTGGGACCTGGAGTGTGCATTTTATCTGATCGACTGCTACACTGTGAGGAGCAAGTCTTTGTCTGTTCTTAAATGATCTCTTTCCCATGGTACCTTTCTTTTATCTCAGTGACTGTTACTGTTAATGAACATTGTTGATGTCTCCAGAGTACTTTGGTTCTGGTGAAGTTACTTTGTTCTTTCATTGTCTTCCAAGAAGCATTCATAGCTTCTGTGCAGTACCTTGTGTGGGTTCAGGATGATCACAGGTAGCAGATTACAAGCTTGCCTTGTATGCTATAGCCATAGCACTTGGGTTGTTTCCCAAGAAGGACCTTCTCATCTTGCTTTTGGGATGCTGTGTATACTTCATTGTACCTTCCACCTGATAATATGAAAATATAGTGCAGCTTTTGGAGACTATAGATTTGTTAATTCCTTGATTCGTTTCCATTCTTGCAGTTTTTACCCCAGCCGTCCAATATGCATATTCATTTGTCTGCTCTTCACTTAGGATTTTAGTTTTCTCTCTCATTGTTCTTCAGAAGGAAGTGTACCAATCTAATATTGGCACCAAACTGGTGTTTTCCTCTAAGACATAGGAGAAGTGACCTCAGAATATGCTTTTTAGGATCCGGGAGATATCACTAGTAAACATTTTTAAATTATTGTATTCTGCATTTGGCCCTTAATAATGTGTCAGGCTCCCACATCCTAATGAAGTGCCTAGAATTTAAATTAGAAACCCATTTTGGTATTCAGTAATTTGAACTAATAATATAGTAGTTTTGTCTGATTTCTAAAACTCTTTTTTTTCTCTTTTCCCCTTAATGAAAGAAAATATCTGTGGCATTGGCTGGCATTTGGTTGGAAACTCATGTTTGAAAATTACTACTGCCAAGGAGAATTATGACAATGCTAAATTGTTCTGTAGGAACCACAATGCCGTTTTGGCTTCTCTTACAACCCAGAAGAAGGTAGAATTTGTCCTTAAGCAGCTGCGAATAATGCAGTCATCTCAGAGCATGGTGAGTTAAAATCCTCAAAACTTAAGTTTCTGGTATCCATCTTTCTATCAAGGGCATGACTGCAACTTGCATGTGGAAGGCTGTGGATATGTGTGATGTGCTTGGCAAGAGGGGGAGTGCTGGTAAACGCAGCCTGAGGGACTGTGGGTTTGTGCTGTCAGAGTCACTTCCTCATATGCCTTGTTTATCTTAAAATTTTTAATACTTTGTATATGTAAGATCTATGAATAATTATGTGTGGGATGAATTGCAACATGTATATGTGTACATACTCTGGTGACATCAGTAGGTGATTTCATATCTGTTTTACCTCTGGATTCTGCTAGGGGAGAAGGAGATTCTCAGTCACTGATAATTAGCTAGGTTGGATTAAATCACCTGAGTTCCTTGAAGTTAAGGTATTATAATAGTGCATAATACTGTATAATTACCATTAAGAAATGTACATCTCGGCTGGACGCAGTGGTTTACTCCTGTAATCCCAGCACTTTGGGAGGCTGAGACGGGTGGATCACCTGAGGTCAGGAGTTCGAGACCAGCCTGACCAATATGGTAAAACTCCGTCTCTAGTAAAAATACAAAAATCAGCCAGGCATGGTGGCGTGCGCCTGTGGTCCCACCTACTCAGGAGGCCGAGGCAGGAGAATTGCTTGAACCCAGGAGGTGGAGGTTGCAGTGAGCCAAGATCGCGCCACTGCACTCCAGCCTGGGCGACAGAGCGATACTCCATCTCAAAACAAAAAAACGAAACAAAACAAAAGAAATGTACATCTGCGGCCGGGCGCGGTGGCTCAAGCCTGTAATCCCAGCACTTTGGGAGGCCAAGACGGGCGGATCACGAGGTCAGGAGATCGAGACCATCCTGGCTAATATGGTGAAACCCCGTCTCTACTAAAAATACAAAAAACTTGCCGGGCGAGGTGGTGGGCACCTGTAGTCCCAGCTACTCAGGAGGCTGAGGCAGGAGAATGGCGTAAACCCGGGAGGCGGAGCTTGCAGTGAGCTGAGATCCGGCCACTGCACTCCAGCCTGGGCGACAAAGCGAGACTCCGTCTCAAAAAAAAAAAAAAAAGAAATGTACATCTGCTTGGGTCTTTCACAGCCCAACCATCTCAAAAGAAGAGAGTACCTTCTTGTCAAGAGTTTCTAAGCCCAGAAAGGCTCAGTTCTCTGCCTGTCCACCCAGTGCTCTCAGGGGGCTTATAGTCGATATTGCATGATCACATTTTGTCATTTTTAGTCCAGAGTCATAAATTGTGATGCTACCCTCAGTTAAGTAGACTCATAAAACAAAGTTCTTTCAGCAGTTTCAGCTGTGGTACAGAAATATTTAGTGGAAATGTTCTTATCAAGCAGGGAGGAGTTGAGGGCAATGCTTCTTTGGGTACAGCCTTCTTCATGTGAAGGTATGGAAATGTGGCCTGCGTCTTGGCTGCATGTGGCCTCTGTGTACCACCTATAGGGCCATTCTGAGACTGGTGGGAGGTGCCCTGTATTTACTTTTCTCCAATTAGTCCCTTTTTTCAGTGCAACTTAAATAGGGTATAGACACTCAAACATTGGCGACATATTCTTAGTGTGTTTACCTCAGGCTACTGTGACCACATTTGGCATTTCATAATATTTTTATAGCTTTTTCAGATTTCAGAATCTCCATTGGCAACTGTCTCTGTTGTTTCTCTTCCCATGTCCAAATGTGGGTCTCTTCCAGCATTCCATCTTGGGCTGGTAGCTGACCTTTCCCATAGTCATTTGTTCCCTCAGAAAATGGATGGCTCCCAGCTTTGTTGATTACCCTGGCATCTCTAACAATGACTCTCAAGTCCACAGAAGTTAAAAGGGTTCAACCAGGTGGCCACAGATATACTTCTGGTACCCTTTCTCTCTTCCTTAGGTTTTCTAACTCTAAACGTTTCTAGGTATTCTAATCTGCTGTGGCCATGTTTATGAACAGAAATTCACAGTCTTAATGATAAGACTGACAGATGAGAGACAACTGAAGCGTAATGACCTTCCACAGCTATACCTCTAGATGTAGCCCAGTTGGTAGAGCCCAGATTTTTATGGAAAAACAAGAAAAGGCACCCAGCCTAGCCTTTAGGACAGAGACTGGCTGGTAGAAAGCTGGAAGGAGGTGACCCCTGAAGGTGAGAAGGAGTGAATTAGGATGTCGAAGAGGGAAGGGCTTCCTGTGTATTAATTAGTACCCCCATGTGTGAGATGTAGAGGGAGATGATTAAGGGAATGGCTCTTTGAGTGAGCTGTAGGTAAGTTTGCATGGTTGACTGCAGGCTGGATGGGAGGGGATTTTTATAGTTGAGCTTCAAGAAGGAACCAAGGCCAGACCCTGCGAGGCTGTGGCTACTATAGTAATGGATCTGAGTTTTATCATGAAGGCAAAGAAATTCTTGAAGGGCCTTTAAAAAGTATTTTTAACTTTCTTTCTTTCTTTTGGATCTATTTATTTTTTAGGTCTTTTAGTAGGCATGTGTATTTTTTCCTCTCAAAAATGGAAATAGGCCGGGTATGGTGGCTTATGCCTGTAATCCCAGCACTTTGGGAGGCCAGTGAGGGAGAATTGCTTGAACCCAGAAGTTCAAGACTAGCCTGAGCAACATAGGGAGGCCCCGTCTCTACAAAAAGTTTTTTAAAAAAAATTAGCCTGGCATGGTGGCGGCACATACTTGTAGTTCCAGCTACTTGGGAGGCTGAGGCAAGAGGGTTGCTTGAGCCCAGGGATTTGAGGCTGCAGTGAGCCATGATCATGTCACTGCACTCCAGCATGGGCAACAGAGCGAGACCCTGTCTCAAAAGAAAACAAAGGGAGGGAAATACAGTATATCTTTTGTTTTATAACTACCAAAATTAGGAATACTTACCATTTCTTGGCTAAACTTTTTATTTTGATTTTTAAAACTTTTTAAAAATTGCAATGAGAAGGAAATTTCAGGAGAGCAGAAGACAGACTATCCCAGGTGTCACTGTCCTATTATTCCCTATAAAATCCAGTGCCAGGATGGATGAATGGATAAAGCAAATGTGGTGTAAGTTGAATATCCCTTATCTAAAATGCTTTGGACGAGGAACATTTCGAATTTTAGAATATTTGCATTATACTAACCAGTTCAGCATCCCTAATCTGGAAATCCAAAATGCTCTAGTGAACATTTTCCTTCAGCATCATGTTGGCACTCAAAAAGTTTTAGATTTTGGAGTGTTTTGGATTTCAGTTTAGGGATACTCAACTTGTGTTTGGGGATAGCAATCTCTTCATATAGGTATTTCAGAACTTAAATACTGCTTTGCTATAATTTCTGTGAATGTTACGATATATTGTCTTCTCTGAGCTACATTTTTATCCTTTATAAAATGGCCATATTGAAGTGATGATCTGTCCTAATCTACCATGGCTGAGTCAAGGGATAGAGAGGTTTTCCTATGTCTGTGGGGTATACTTAACTTGGTGGTTTTTATCTAGAAGCTTGTTTTGGTCAAGATGTTGGTTATATTCAGGCCAGGCATGGTGGCTCATGCCTGTAATCTCAACACTTCGGGGGGCCGAGGTGGGAGGATCGCTTGAGCTCAGGAGTTTGAAACCAGCCAGGGCAACATGGCAAGACTCCATCTCCAAAATTTAAAAAAAAAAAAAAAAAAGTTAGTTGTATTCATACTTGTGTCTCTTTTGCCTTTAGTCCAAGCTCACTTTAACCCCATGGGTCGGCCTTCGGAAGATCAATGTGTCCTACTGGTGCTGGGAAGATATGTCCCCATTTACAAATAGTTTACTACAGTGGATGCCATCTGAGCCCAGTGATGCTGGATTCTGTGGAATTTTATCAGAACCCAGTACTCGGGGACTGAAGGCTGCAACCTGCATCAACCCACTCAATGGTAGCGTCTGTGAAAGGCCTGGTAAGTTCATGGGTGAATTAGGTGGTATTCAGAGTTTAATGTGAGAGAAACCATAGGAGGCATAGTTAATTGCTGAGATGTGTGAAGTAGTGATGAAAACAGATGAAGTATTGATTTCAAGCATGCAAAGCAGAGTGTAAGCCAGATTTCAGAAGCAGAAGGAAATATTCTGGGACCCTGAATAGTTTTAATTATAAACAAAACCAAAAATAACTAACTATTCAAAGTAATAATAACCTACTCAAAGAAACTGATATTCTAATTAACAATGAGATTGATAGGTTTATTGACCAGAAAAAGTATTGAGAATTGCTCTGAAAGGCAAATATACTGGTGTTGGCAGAGAAATGCAGTGGAAGAACAAACAAAGAAGGAAAATAAAAACAAGGAAAAGATTAGTAAAGCAAGTCACTACAGGGACAGTGTTCAGAAAGGTAGTGTCAACAGGGAGAAAAGTGATGAGGGCAGTTCTGTAACCGAGGACAGAGGCAACCCAGAACTGCGCGAGAGCTGTGGGAGAGTACTGAGCGAACAGACACTCAGAGTAGCTTCCCAGCTTTCAGTCTTTCTGGGCTACATTTCAGCTAACTAAAGGCAGACCCAGGGGTAGCTGCTGTGGCATGAAGACAACCCAAAACGAGCCTCCTCCTCCTGCAGAGGAACTCACAAGCAGTCGGTGGAACTGTGGGTTATTTTGGGAGGCTGGACTCCATTTGCATTGTGTCCAGTTTTGGGAAAATAATTTGTGAGGAATTACAGAGGTGTAGAAGAGAATTCATAGCATTGTAGAAGTCTCCTTAAAATATGATTTTTAAACTTCTCTAGGGGAGCTGCCAAGCAGCCTTTCAGAATTCTGAATCCTTTGGTGAATTTAATGAATGTCGTGGTCCTTCTTCCCTCCAAAATTGCAAACATGAGATTTTACATACTCAAGTGGGTTGTAAAACCCTAAAGTTCATCCTGGGTCCCCAAACTCTAAGGGGCTTACAGCCCTACTTTTATGGAAAGATTCACTGTTTCCTTATCTTTGTCCTTGATGCTCTTTGAAAATAAAATTTATTTTTTCCACAAGTATGTAAATACACTTGATTAAATAGTACTTGATGACTTTTATTGTTTTCTGTTTTCTCTCATTTAATTGATTGCATGGCACATTAATGGGTCATCACCCACATTTGAAAAGTCTTGACCGGGCACAGTGGCTCACGCCTATAATCCCAGCACTTTGGGAGGCCAAGGCGGGTGGATCACGAGGTCAGGATATCGAGACCATCCTAGCTAACATGGTGAAATCCCATTTCTACTAAAAATACAAAAAATTAGCCGGACGTGATGGCATACGCCTGCAGTCCCAGCTACTAGGGAGGCCGAGGCAGGAGAATCACTTGAACTGAGGAGGTGGAGGTTGCAGTGAGCCAAGATTATGCCACTGCACTCTAGCCTGGAGACACAGTGAGACTCTGTCTCAAAAAAACAAAAAAAAAAAAAAGAAAGAAAAGTCTTTAACCTTAGCAGACATGGTGGGGGCTCTAAGTGTCTCTCTTGGGTTTCATTCCCAGCAAACCACAGTGCCAAGCAGTGCCGGACACCATGTGCCTTGAGGACAGCATGTGGAGAGTGCACCAGTGGCAGCTCTGAGTGCATGTGGTGCAGCAACATGAAGCAGTGTGTGGACTCCAATGCCTACGTGGCCTCTTTCCCTTTTGGCCAGTGTATGGAGTGGTATACAATGAGCACCTGTCCCCGTAAGTGAAAAAGGGAGCCCTAGGCACTTATGCATGCCCTCTGTATAGGCAACAACTCAGACATGGGGCTGTGCTCTCAGCCTCTTAACATTTTAGAAACAAGACTGGACATGACCTCTGCTCAAACCTGACCAGAGACTACCATCGAGACATTGCTGCCTGATGACAACCTTCATACAGAATCAGGCACATTGACAGTAAATAAATGTAGGACAGATCACAGAGTACAGAAATAACTTGTCCATCCTCAATGGCATATTGTGCAATCCATGTAATAGCGCCATATCTGAATGTCCTAATTTGTAAAGTAAATGCTTTCCAATAGATAACCTCTAAGGCCCCTTTTGCCTTCAATATCCTGGAATTGAGAAAGGAGGGAAGGGTCATCTCTGTTATGTATTGGGCAAAATACTGGGTTCTTTACATTCGTTATCTCTTTTAAATAATAAAGACAGAATAGTATTTTTGACTCATGCCAGTTGAATAGTCTGTTAAAGAAAAATGTAATTTAAATACAGTGAATTCAGATCTACCTGTGATAGTCAGTTGCAACTTTTTTCTTTTTAATAGCTGAAAATTGTTCAGGCTACTGTACCTGTAGTCATTGCTTGGAGCAACCAGGCTGTGGCTGGTGTACTGATCCCAGCAATACTGGCAAAGGGAAATGCATAGAGGGTTCCTATAAAGGACCAGTGAAGATGCCTTCGCAGGCCCCTACAGGAAATTTCTATCCACAGCCCCTGCTCAATTCCAGCATGTGTCTGGAGGACAGCAGATACAACTGGTCTTTCATTCACTGTCCAGGTAAGATGCTTTGCATATCCAAATTCAAGTGTTTCATTACCGATTTATGAAGAATAAAACCTTGAAAGCTACGTTGTGTGTATGTAACTCCCTCCCCTCAGCCCCTTCCTTCTTCCTAATGATTGGTACAAGAAGGAATAGACGAGAAGGTGATCCAAGGCCTGACCTGGACCTGCTGGGAGTGGTGGTGGGTTTCTAAGAAACCAATTCTAAGAAATTGACCTTTGATTCAGACTTGAAGTGACCACTCAGCAATGTGTCTGTCTGCTTCTAGAACAACTGGGAGAGGCTGGGCTGGTGCAAAGACTGCTCAGAGATTAGCGGTCAAGAACTTCTCTAAGAGCCTGTCAGACAGTGCTGTTGACAACAGGGCTCTTTGTGAGGACTTTATAAGGGGAAGTCCACTGTAAACAAAGGTAAAAGGCCAGAGACAGACTGGGAGAAAATACCTGCACTGTATGTGTAACAACTGATGATCATCCAAAATATATAAACTCCCACCCTCCAGAGAAAAAACAAAAAGCTAAATGTGAACCCAACCGAAAAAGTGGTTATTGGAGATAAAGAAACCATTATCAGAAAAAGAAATAGAAGAGGAAAATGTAAACTAACACCAGGAACCAATTTTTTGTCTACTAAACTGGATCAAATTTTCCATGTTCCCTTTTTTCCATACTAAGATTTGGGGGATCTGCAATTCTATTTTTAATCTACTAGGAGTTAACTTTTTAATGAAATATTTAAATCTCTGCTTTTTCATTAATATCAAGAATGTATCTAGTAAAATGACAACCCAGAGAATGGGAGAAAATATTTGCAAATTATGTATCTAATAAGAATCTAATGTCCAAAACACATAACTCTTAAAACTCAACAATAGAAAGACAACCCAATTAAGAAATGGGTAAAGGATTTAAATAGACATATGTCCAGAGAAGAAATACAAATGGCCAATAAGCATACGAAAAGATACTCAGTATCATTCATCATTAGAGAAATGCAAGTCAAAGCCACAATTAGATACCACTTTACACCTGCTGAGATGGCTATAATCAGTAAATCAGTTAGTAACAAGTATTGGCAAGGATATGTAGAAATTGGAACTCCCATGCAGGTTGGCAGGTCCTCAGAAAGTTAAATATAGAGTTATCATATGGCCCAGCAGTTTTACTCCTAGGTACATACCCAAGAAAATTGAAAACATATGTTACCCAAAAACTTGTATATAAATGCTCATGCTTATAGCATCATTCTCATAGCCTCATGCTCATAGCAACATTATTCATAATCAAAAGTGAAAACGAGCCAAATAGCTGGCGAATGGATGAACAAAGTGTTGTATGTTCATACAGTGTAATATTATTTGGCAATAAAAAGGAATGAAGTACAGACATATTTTCTGACGTGGATTACCTTAAAAAAGCATGCTGTGTAAAAGAAGCCAGGTGTAAAAGATGATGCATTGCATGATGCCATTTATATGAAATGTTCAAAGACAGTAGATGTTTAGTGGTTTCCTAAGACTGGGCATGGAAATGAAGAATAATAGGCACGAAGTTTTCTGGAGTAGCTGCAGCATTTTATGCTCTCACCAGCATCATATGAAGGTTCATATTTTTCCACGTGCTTGTCAATACTTGTTACTGACCATCTTTTTAATTAAAACTGTTCTAGTGGATGAGAAATGGCATCTCACTGTTGTTTGGATTTGTATTTTCCTGATAACTAATGAAATTGAACATCAACTTCATTAATTAGCCTTTTGTATATCTTCTTTAGAGAAATATATATTCAAATTCTTTGCCTATTTTTCAGTTATGTTGTCTTTTTTATTATTGAATTGTAAGAGTTCTTTATGAATTCTGAAGTCCCTATTGGATATATTATTTGCAAATACTTTCTCCCATTATATGGGTTTCTTTTCACTTTCTTAATATGCCTTTTGAAATCAGAAGTTTTCAGTTTTGATTAAGTTCCATGTATCAATATTTTATTTTATCCCATGTGCTTTTTGGTATTGTATCTAAAAAATCAGTGCCCAGAGCAAATCACATAGATTTGCTCCTAAGTTTTCTTTGAAAAGTTTCGTAGATTTATGTCTTACATTAGGTCCTTTATCCATTTTGAGTTAATTTTTGTCTATGGTGTGAGATAGGGGTCCAAACTCTCTTTTTGCCTGTGGATGTGGTCCCTGCACCATTTGTTGAAAAGACTTTTTTTTTTTAACCATTGAATTTTCTTGGCACATTTGTTGCAAATCAGTTGGCTGTGAATCTAGGAACTTATTTCTTTTTTTTTTTTTTTTTTTTGAGACTGAGTCTGGCTCTGTCGCCCAGGCTGGAGTGCAGTGGCTGGATCTCAGCTCACTGCAAGCTCCGCCTCCTGGGTTTACGCCATTCTCCTGCCTCAGCCTCCCTAGTAGCTGGGACCACAGGCGCCCGCCACTTCGCCCGGCTAGTTTTTTGTATTTTTTAGTAGAGACAGGGTTTCACCGTGTTAGCCAGGATAGTCTCGATCTCCTGACCTCGTGATCCGCCCGTCTCGGCCTCCCAAAGTGCTGGGATTACAGGCTTGAGCCACCGCGCCCGGCCTCTAGGAACTTATTTCTAAGCTCTCATTTCTGTGCTGTTGACCTACATTTCTCCTTTTGCCAGTATTACACTGTTTTGATTACTGTGGCTTTGTATAAGTTTTGAAATTGGGAAATCTAATTCCTCCACCTTTGTTCTTATTTTATAAGACTGTTATAGCTATTCTGGGTTTCTTGCATGTCCATATTAATTTTAGGAAGAGCTTGCCATTTTCTGTAACAACAAAAAGCCAACTGGTTTGATAAGGTTTGCATTGAATCTATTGGCCAATTTGTGGTGTACTGCCAGTTTGTTTGTTTGTTTGTTTGTTTGTTGAGACAGGATCTCACTCTGTCACCCAGGGTGGAGTGCAGTGGTGCTATCTTGGCTCACTGCAACCTCCACTTTCCCAGGCTCAAGTGATTCTCCAGCCTCGGCCTCTACAGTAGCTGGTACTACAGGCGTGAGCCACCAACACCCAGCTAATTTTTGTATTTTTTTAGAGACAAGGTTTTGCCATGTTGCTCAGGCTGGTCTTGAACTCCTGAGCTCAAAGCAGTCCTCCTGCCTCTGCCTCCCAAAGTTCTGGGATTGCAGGTGTGAGCCACCACGCCTGGCCTTTGCCATCTTAACAAGGTTAAATCTTCTAGCCTATGAACCTGGAATGTCTGTTTACCTCTTTACTTTCTTTTGGCATTGTTTTGTAGTTTTCAGTGTACATCATTGTCTTGTTCCCTTTTTTAGGGGAAAATAATTCAGTCTTTATTAAATGTGATATTGGTTTAGATTTTTTTTTATACATACCCTTTATTGGGTTGAGAAAGTTTCCTTCTATTCTAGTTTTTTGAGGGTTTTGTAATGAATGAGTGCTAGATTTCGTCAAACACTTTTTCTGTGTCTACTTAGATGATCATGCAGTTTTGTTCTTTATTCTATTAATACTATGTATTACACTAATTAAGAATGTTAAGCCAGTTTTGCATTCCTGGGATAAAGCCCATTTAGTCATGATGTATACTTTTTTATCATGATGTATATTTTTAATCTGCTATTGGATTCTATTTGCTAGTTGGGGATTTTGTGTCTGCATTCATGAGGGGGATATAAGTTTGTGGTTTTCTTCTTTTGTGATTACTGTCTGGCTTTCATAGCAGGGTAGTACTAGACTCTTAGAGTAAGTTGGAACATACTCCTGTATTTACTGGAAGAGTTCGTCAAGGATTAGCATTAATTATTCTTTGTAATCTGTGTTTTTCTAGGAATTTGTCTATTTCATCTCAGTAATCGAATTTGTTAACGTAGAGTTCATAATTTTTTTTTTTTTTTTTGAGACAGAGTCTCACTCTTTCACTCAGTCTGGAGTGCAGTGGCATGATCCCTGCCCACTGCAACCTCTGCCTCCAGGTTCAAGTGATTCTCCTGCCTCAGCCCCCCAAGTAGCTGGGACTACAGGCACACGCCACCACGCCTATCTAATTTTTTTGTTTTTGTTTTTGTTTTTAGTAGAGACAAGGTTTTACCATGTAGACCAGCACGGTCTCGATCTGACCTGTGATCTGCCCACCTCGGCCTCCCAAAGTGCTGGTGTGAGCCACCGCGCCCAGGTGTGAGCCACCGCGCCCAGCCAGTTCATAGCATTTTCTTGCAGGTTGCTCTTTAGCAATACGTAGTCACCTATTTAACCTGTTAAGGATTTTTTTTTTCTAATTTGGTTTTATTCATTCTTTTACATTTTGTGAGGGCTCTAAATATTGTGTTTTTTTTTTTTTTTAAGAGCTTACTCTCTTATATGGTGGATGCAATAATTTAAGCCTTGTTGAATGTACTAAAATTTGTATTTTTCATTTTCTCATATTTCTTCCATTAACCCTTCCTTCAGGATTTGTTGCTGTGCATGTTTATCCTGGTGGTATTTGGAGATTGAGAATTTTCTTATACTGGTTAATCCTCAAGGTTAATTTCTATTAATAACTAAATGTGTAGATCTGTCAATATTGGTCAGTGATTGGGTGTGCTGAGCTGTTGTGAAGGTGTGGTATGATCTCCTAGAAAAGCTAGCAAGCCAGCCTCAGGACACTCCAGCTCTGGTCCACTTGGACTGTTGTTGACTGGTGTGCACTCCTCCCTCATTGGAAGAAGGAAGGAGCAATGGACCTGAGTGTCTGGGTGCAATTAGCATGTTCATGGATGTGCCAAGTGCCTCCCAGTCTTGGGTGGTAGGGCCACCTAAAGATAGCTGGCACATTGCCTTGAGTCTGCCTGCTTGCCTTTCTGCCTTTCTGCCTTTCTGCCTTTCTTTCTTTCTTTCTTTTTCTTTCTTTCTTTCTTTCTTTCTTTCTTTCTTTCTTTCTTTCTTTCTTTCTTTCTTTCTCTCTTTCTCTCTTTCTCTCTTTCTCTCTTTCTCTCTTTCTCTCTTTCTCTCTTTCTTTCTTTCTTTTCTCTTTCTCTTCCTTTCCTTCTCTTTTCTGTTTTCTTTTCTTTTCTTTCATTTTTGAGGTGGAGTTTTGCTCTTGTTGCTCAGGCTTGAGTGCAGTGGTGCTTTCTCGGCTCACTACAACCTTCGCCTCCCGGGTTCAAGCGGTTCTCCTGCCTCAGCCTCCCAAGTAGCTGGGATTACAGGCACCTGCCACCACCCCTGGCTAATTTTTTGTATTTTTAGTAGAGACGGGGTTTCACCATGTTGGCCAGGCTGGTCTCGAACTCCTGACCTCAAGTGATCCACCCACCTCGGCTTCCCAAAGTGCTGGGATTATAGGCGTGAGCTACCACACCCAGCTGAGTTTTCTTTCAGACACTCAAATACTAACAGGTGCATAAACAGAACAGGTACAAGGCTATAGAAGGTTGCCAAGATGGTGAAAAACTACATCACATTGATCAACCAAGGCAGATCTGAAGAATCAGATTTTGCTTACAGAGCAGGTTGTGCAACTATGTAAATATCTCCCCCATCCCATTCCTCCTTAGAGTTCTGCAGTGCACAGCCTGTGCAGCTGTCCTGAGCAGTCCTCAGAGGTCCAAGCTTCATATACCTTTCTAGTTGTAAAGCCTTATATCCATTAGGAGTCTTAGTAATCCCACTTGTGGAAATGTTTATCCATAAAGATGGTTATTTTTCTAATAATGAAAAATGTAAAGCAAACTAAATATTAGAATATAAGGGAATGGTAAAATAACTGTTAAGATTCATCAAAATCATTCTGCCATTTAAAGTTTTGTTTATAATTAATGAAATAATGTAAAATAATTGTGATCTAAGTTAAAAAAGAAAGGTGAATATTAATATGAACATAATTGTGTAATACTGTATAGAAAAATACCAGAAGAAAAGATATCAAATGTGAACAGTGGTCTCTGGGTGGTTGGATTGTATATGATCTTTCCCATCCTTCTATTTTTTAAATATACTGTCATGAGCATATGTTATTTTTTAGTGAGTAACAACAAAAAATATTTTTTAGTGTCACTATGGGCTTTCACCTTGCTGTGATACATTTTCAGTTTTCCTGGACTAGCTCTTCTTTGATATTTTTTATCTTATTTCTCAAATTAGTTTTTAATGGGCCAGTTTGGGTGATTTATCAAAGATAAATTAACTACAGAGATAGTTGCAGATAAATCTTATTGAACTTACTCCATGCAGTTCTTCCATGGTACAGACCCTTTGAAACTCTTTTTCTTCCAGCTTGCCAATGCAATGGCCACAGTAAATGCATCAATCAGAGCATCTGTGAGAAATGTGAGAACCTGACCACAGGCAAGCACTGCGAGACCTGCATATCTGGCTTCTATGGTGATCCCACCAACGGAGGGAAATGTCAGCGTAAGTCAAATTGGTCAGATTTACTCATGGCAAATTGGTGTGGAACACAGTACTTCTATTTGACTTGAGTAGGAGGAAAAAAGCCACTTTGTTTTGGATACCACATTTCTTATTAAATCATACTGGTCAGAGGCTCAGCTGAGCTGGAAGAAAGAACTAAGGTTTCAGTGTAGCTGGTTAAAGCAACAAGCCAAAAATGTTAGAGTTAAGCTGACCACATTCTGCAGTGGTATAAACAAGGGCCCAAAACCAGAGAAAGTGCCAACTTCTGTTTCCTTTCCTCCCATTGAACAGGGCACAGGTCAATAGTCAGAGGGATCAGCTCAGACATGGGAGTCCTGGGGCTCGTCTCACTGAGGAGAGAGCCCCGGACAAAAGGTTCCAGCAGTATATGGACCCTAAGGTTGTGGGGAGGGCAAGGTGTAAGGGCTAGGAGTAGGAAAGTCCTGAGTTGGAGTCAGTTAGGAAAGTGTCTTCTGAATTCCCCCTCTTCCCCCCATCAGGAGGCCTTGGTGCCTGAAGAAGACCTCAGCCCAAGGCCTCAGATAGGGAGCCTGGGAATGAAGGCTCCAGGGCTAGGAATGTAAACATGTGAAGGAGCGTGACCCATGAGGTAGACCTGAGTCCTTAACTGCACCTCTCTCAGAGCCCCACACTCAGGCCCACCTCATAGGTCACGCTCTGCCTGTAGGGAGGTCCCCCTTCCCCGAGGGCAGCCAGGTAAAGCCTATGTCATTGCCTATGGTCAGGCCTAAAAAATCACACAGAGGCTTTTTAACCAGGAGCCAGACTCCTCAATACTTCTAGTGTATTTTAAAGATTTAAATAGTCCCATGTTGGCTGGGCACGGTGGCTCACACCTGTAATCCCAGCACTTTGGGAGGCCAGGGCGGGTGGATCACTTGAGGTCAGGAGTTTTAGACCAGCCTGGCCAACATGGTGAAACCCCATCTCTACTAAAAATAGAAAAATTAGCTGGGCGTGGTGGTGGGTGCCTGTAATCCTAGCTACTCAGGAGGCTGAGGCATGAGAATTGCTTGAACCTGGGAGGTGGAGGTTGCAGTGAGCCAAGATCACGCCACTGCACTCTAGCCCGGGCAACAGAGTGAGACTCAGTCTCAAAAAAAAAAAAAAAAAAAAAAGAAAGTCCTGTGTTTCCCCTTTTATGTCAAATAGAAGCCTGCAAGCAATAGGACATTTTATCATGAGATCAAAAATTATGACAAGTAATACTTATGAACTGCTTTTTTTATTCTAGTTTCCAGCTGAAAAACATAATGAGTACTATAGTTGAAAGACTCTTCAAAGTTCTGAGCAGGAAAAGTAAACATAGGGAAATCTCTACGTACTTCCCAGATCCCAACTCCAAACTTTGGCATGACCCTTCAGAATCTAATCCAAGACCAGCCAGGAGAGGGGCAGTGTTCTAGCTGTATGTCCCTTACTCTCCCTGGGGTTCAGTTTCCTCATAATAATAGGGTGGTTGTTGAGATGAAAGCAGAGCAGTACATGACACACATTCTGCAGGATACTAGTCAATACTCAGTAGACGTGGGCAATTCTTATTACCCTTCTAATGCCATTCCCCATTACTCCTAAGTAAAAGTTCTTGCTCAGATTAAAAGGTACTTGGTAAAAATATTTTCCCACTCTTTGTGAATAGACTTTATCCGTTAGACAGTAACTAGAGTACCTAACAGAGTGGTAGAGTGTACAAGGCATTGTGCTGTTAGCCACTCAAGATACAGGTGCTTTTATTATCCCCAAGATCAAGTAAACTGCCCAGGGTCTCACAGTGAGGTGTGGCCAAGCTGAGAACCACGTCCAGTCTGTGCTGACCTTAACTACTGGGCTGGTTGTACTTCCAGATGCCATCATCCCCACATCAGCAGCTACTATCTGGAAGCATCACATTTTCCTCTGTGAGATCTACAGGGCCTGAGTACAATTGTATAGAACTTAGAGTTTGCCTTATTTTTCAGAGTCCTAATCCACAGTAGAAAGCGTGGTGTTTAGAATACTGCAAATCGGCCGGGCGCGGTGGCTCACGCCTGTAACCCCAGCACTTTGGGAGGCCGAGGTAGGCGGATCACGAGGTCAGGAAATCGAGACCATCCTGGCTAACAAGGAGAAACCCCGTCTCTACTAAAAATACAAAAATTAGCCAGGCATGGTGGTGGGTGCCTGTGGTCCCAGCTACTCGGGAGGCTGAGGTAGGAGAATGGTGTGAACCCAGGAGGCGGAGCTCGCAGTGAGCCGAGATTGCGCCAATGCACTCTAGCCTAGGCAACATAGCAAGACCCTGTCTCAAAAACAAAAAAGAATACTGCAAATGGCACCAAGTCTTTGATGTTTTCTTCTTAAAATTGTATAGTCCTTAGGTAAGGATAGTAGCCATGGTTTCTTGAATGCTTACTATGTTTGAGACATCATACACATATCATCAAAAACACCCCTGTGAGATAGGTACCGTTGTTATCCCCATTATATGGACAAGGAAGCTGAGACTCAGAAAGGTTAAGTAGCATTTCCAGAGTGACGGAAGAGCCAAGTAGAGTACGCTGGATTCAAACCCAGGCAGACGGACATAAGGCCTTTGCTTCTCACTAATAAATTACACACCTTCCCCCAGTCTCAACGGAGCCAAGCATCAAACACTCACGATTCTGACTTTAGCATCCATTCTGTTAATCTCTGCACTATTCTGTTTTATAGTTTTCTTTGGGTGATTTTTTCCCCAAAGGATTTATTTTTAAAGCATACCTCTCTCCAACTGAATGCCTTTCATTTATTCACCAGCAAAACAGGGTATAAAGTGAAAAGGTGTTGACCAAAAAACCTTTCATTTTCTTCAACTGGAGTATAATATTTATCACAGCTTGTATTATGTTGGATGATAAAAGGAGAGATGTTGAGATGGCCAGAGGAGGGAGATGGGAAGAGCTATTTTCTGTAAAGGCAAAAAAGAAGGTGAAGCAAGGGTGGCGCGTCCTGAGGGCCCCTAAAGCACTGACCTTGGCGTTGGATCCTGGTTCTGAGTCCTGCGGTAATTCCAAATGTGGCCATCATGGAGAAGGCACCTCAGCCAAGACCAGCCCTCCTTCAGAGGACAGTCACCTCCAGAGCACCTTCCTAGGGGCAGCAGCTATGTCTGTGTCCCCACACCCAGCACCTGGCATTCTAGAGATGCTTCACAAATATTTATTGAATGAATGAAAGAATCATAGCAGTGAAAAAGAGAGTCTATTGAAAAGATCAGAATAGTCATTGCTTCAGAAGGCAGTGGGTACCAGCATTTACTTTCCTCCTGTCCTTTGATTTTGGTTCCTTTAATATTACCTATACATTATTATCATTAGCTGAAAAATCATGAATCTTGCCCATTGAATGCTCTTACTTTAATCTGTCTTTCCTACTGAACTCAATTCAGATAAAATTGCTTGTTTTGGAAAAAGTCTCCAATAGTCAGAATTTTTTAAGCCAGTTGTGACCTCCATTCGTTTTTCTTCTCTGCAGCATGCAAGTGCAATGGGCACGCGTCGCTGTGCAACACCAACACGGGCAAGTGCTTCTGCACCACCAAGGGCGTCAAGGGGGACGAGTGCCAGCTGTGAGTACCACACTCCCTGGACCACCAGGGAGGACCAAGAGGCTGTGCAGCTGCCTGAACCCCATCCTGAGAGCCACCCACTTCCCTGTGTCTTGTTGCTGTGGACTCTGAGGGATCTCTGGGTTGATTAGTTTGAAAGTTTGCCCATTCTACTTCAGACAGGTCAATCCCCAAACTGAGGAGGTTGTCAAGTTAGCAGCAATTCCTTAATGGCTCTTGAATTCACATTTTTGTTTAAGTGATACTGACATTTCCTGGGTTGTCCATTCAGATTAGTCATTTTAACTTCAGCAACTACTTGATTTTTGTCATGTGAAGAGATTGTACTCTTTCCCAAAGAGTAGAGTTGGAAGAGCTGGTGTTTTGGTGATGGCATTTATTTGGCGTTTGGTTGTCTGATTGTGGAAATGATCCTCTTACCTTTAACATTTGCTGTTACTCTAGCATTTTCCTTGTTGAAGGATGTCAGGCATCTTCCTGGAGAGGGTTTGGAGTCCCCATCCATGAGGATGCAGGTGCAGAAGCATCAGGCACGTTTAAGATTTCAGACCTGGCCCTGCCTCCACTGAGCAAGGTGCTCTTGAGGCAAATCACTGTTCCCCACATCTGTCAATAGTGGGACTAGCCATAGTTGTTTTTGATGTCCTGTTAAGTTGAAATAGGAAGGATAGTTCCTCAATCAGTGTATACCGGGCTGTCTCACGGGGAAACCTCATAAAACGCATGCATCCGCATTTACTCATTCTCAAGAGGAGACTTAAAAGTGTTTAGTGTCAAAACACTGAGCCGATTAATCATTGTAAACATCATTATTTCTTTTTTTTTTTTCCCGAGACGGAGGCTTGCTCTGTTGCCCAGGCTGGAGTGCAGTGGCACGATCTCGGCCCACTGCAAGCTCTGCCTCCTGGGTTCACGCCATTCTCCTGCCTCAGCCTCCCAAGTAGCTGGGACTATAGGCGCCCGCCACCACACCCAGCTAATTTTTTATGTTTTTTAATAGAGAAAGGGTTTCACCGTGTTAACCAGGATGGTGTCGATCTCCTGACCTCGTGATCCGCCTGCCTCAGCCTCCCGAAGTGCTGGGATTATAGGCGTGAGCCACCGTGCCCGGCCAAACATCATTATTTCTTAAATAACAGTAGTAATAATGCCACCAGTGATTGAGACGTCATCGCTAGTGCTACTCAGCAGGGTTTGGTCTGTCTACCTTTTTAGTTTATATTTGCATATATGTTTACTAGTTTCATGTTGCCCTAAAGCCAATATGTGAAGAAAAGTCTAATCCAAGGTTAAATTTAACTTTTAGGTCCACATTCCTTTAAACAGAAAAATGTGATCAGGCAAAATTAATCACTCTTACCCTCAGTTAGCTGATGCAACAAAGACATGAGGTGGCATCAAGTAAGACTTTCAAGTTCCTTCAAGATCACAGATGTAGGCAGGTGCTGCTCATCACCCTGGCTGAAGGGACACAGCATGCCTGCCTGGGAAAGGCCATCACCTGCTTCCCGCCCTTTCCTCTTCGTGCATAGCTGTTGTGTTTACCTAAATGGCTTTGTGAAGTGGGAGGCTGGGTTTTGCTGATGTTTATAGATGATATCTATGGGGAAATTGTTTTCTGAGGAGAACACATTTTTTTTCTACGTACTGGTGAACACTTGTTCCAGGGTTTTAAAAAAACAGTGATTCTTGGTATTTAGTCTTCTCTCACTTGTGTTTAAAGAAGAGAATTAGTTTATCCAGGGAACATAGGAAAGAAGTGAGAAATTAGTATTTGAAAAATGTTTTGACTGCACTCTTAGAAGAATATGTAGTCCCCACAAAATTGAAAATGTGTTTTTCATTATAGCAAATAGGTGTATTGCGTTTGGATTTTTCTCATTGCTTTGGCAAATGCTTGTCAATTGTCTTCATATAGTTGGTGTGTGAACTGCTGAGCAGTCAGTATTGAAACATGCATGCTCTTCGTAGACTACCTGAGCTGAGTTATGGTGAAGGATGCAGTTATAATGACTCCAGACTGTCTGTACTTTATATAAAAGGATCTGCTTGGTTTTAAAATGAATTCAGCTTCTGTTTTAAATAGAAGTATAAATAGTCTTTGTTTTTTCCCCCAGATGTGAGGTAGAAAATCGATACCAGGGAAACCCTCTCAAAGGAACATGTTATTGTAAGTGGTTTTGCAATTCTTATTTCTAGAAGCAAAGTAGTTCAGTAAAACTTCATTGTTTAACCTCGTTTGAGAATAAGTGCTATAGGACTATAGCAACCACCAATGAAGTGTTCCCTAACTTGATATGTTTACATTCTGTTAAGTTTACTACTTATAGGAGCACTATTTTAACCTGTTTTAATTGTGTTTGGGGTTAACGTTAATGTGTCCATAGCAGATAGCAGGAGAGAGTAGAGAGGCATGCATCTCTGTCTTTCCATGTTATGTTCTCTTAAAACTTTATTTGCCATTACCTAGTTGGGGTCATCATATTTCGTGTTTTAGGATATAGATCAAAAACAGAATTCTTAAAATATGGTGAAGTTTTTGTCATTCTGTCTGGAACTGATTTGTGTTAACCACCTTGGGGTGAAAGGTCAGTCTGGCAAGGTCACCAGGTTTTTATGGGTAAATGTGTTTTCTCTTTATGGGAGAATGCACATTGTAGACCAGAGTATGGAACCAGAAAAAAGGAGTTAATGTTATGGCATATCCATTGTAATTATATACCTGCTGTACTGGGTTGAATAACGTCCCTTCAAAATTCATGTGTGCTTGGAACCTGTGAATGTGACTTTATATATATATGTATATACACACATGTAACTTCTAAAAGAAAATAAGAGAAAAATATCTTGACCTTCCGTGGGGAAAAGTTGTTAGATATGTTTCTAAAAGCATAATTCATAAACAAAAAGTAGATTAATGAAACTATATAAAAATTTAAAATGAAACTATATAAAAATTTAAATCTTGTAGGAAAAAACCATCCAAAACATAAAAAGCCACAGACTAGAGAAAATATTGACAAATTATCATATATTTGATAAAGAGTTTGTATCCAAAATACATAAGGAACTCTTCTTACAACTGAATAAGAAGACAGTTCCAGTTAAAAACAGGCAAATATTTGAAAAGACATTTCGTGAAAGAAGATATTACAGTGGCCAATAAGCACATTAAAAATGACTTAACATCATTAGTTATTTGGAATGGAGATATTAAAACCACAGTCAGATGCAGCCCTAAAGTGATTAGAATCCAACGCTAATGCCATGGCTTTATAGAAGACAGTGGTAATCTCGTGTCTGCTTCTGCATTCAGTCTGTTGCAGGACATCTTTTTGGTTAAACACATGAAAAAAACCTGGCCTTACCAGACATGCAGTTGGAAAAGGGTATAGTAATACCCTTTTAATAGCCTTTTCAGATAATTACGGATGTTATTTGATATTATGCTGAAACTGTACAACTGGTCATTTCTTTAAAGCAGTTTGATGGGTTAACCCAAATAAAATGATACTGCCCACAGACTTGATTTTCTTTGAGGAACCTAGGTGCAGGTGAGTTAAAGTGCCTTCCTCATTGTAAGAAAAGCAGTCTGTATCTCTAAAGACCTGTTCTATTTTGTGCATGTGTGTATTTTTTAAATACGCATTTCTTTCTTTCCATAGATACTCTTCTTATTGACTATCAGTTCACTTTTAGTCTATCCCAGGAAGATGACCGCTATTACACAGCTATCAATTTTGTGGCTACTCCTGATGAAGTAAGATTTTTTAAAGTCTTCCTATTTTGTTTTGAATTTGTATGGATCTCTTTCTTGGTCATTATGGATAGAAGTACTGCCTTAGCAGTGCTCTCCAAACTGCTCTCCAAACTATACGAGATGATCTCTAGAGGTATAGGAAAGAAATGTTAGAATCTGTATTATCTCCTTTCCACGTAAAAGGCAAAAGTGCTGTTAATAAGATTTACCAGGATCTTAGACGCAGACTGACATTGATTCCACACATACTTACTCTGCCTGTCAGCCCATCACGGCCTCATACAGAAAGGGGACTCCACCATCAGAGGGCAGACACCAGAGCCTGGATTTACTCTCTCAAGAGTGACCAGAAGCTTAAAGACTCTGCTGATTGAAATGCCAGTGATGCAGCCCCAATCAGACAGCAAAGGAGGGAACACTTCTGCTCCTAGAGTGAGTTCTTAGCCTCATTAGGAGGCAAAACAGCAAAGGCTTAGTGAGGTCCAATAAGAATTTAGCCAGGAGTACTTTAAATTGTTAAAATATGTGTGTAAAATGTGGATTTTTTATCTGCTGTCATTAATGATGAAGCCCAACCTGCCTTAAGGTATTACCTAATGGTGGAAGGAAGGCCACACTGCGTGACATTTAAAACTGAAGCGTCCAGAACATGAAGATGCACCTGTACAGCTTCTTCAATGAAATATAAAGCCATGCAGTACCCACTTCAGTATTTAAAGAAATTTTGCTAAACTTAATGGTAAATTATTTAGGAACTTCCTTGGAGATTTCTTACTTCTCATGAACATACACAAAGCCATTTACCATTATAAAATTCCATTGACAATAAATGTGACAAATAATACATGGAAAACAATATGACAGTAAGCCAAAGTATATTGCTTTGTTAACAAATGTTATCTATAAACATTGCTAAATTTAATTTTAAAAGTAGAACAAAGTCTATAGTGTGGTATGTTTACTATACAAGTAAATGAAAATAGGATTTGTTTTTAATATTCTATTTCAATGATAAAATTAAGAAAAAATATACTAGAAAAGATACATTCTCAAAAGTAAATTGCTTTTTAAGTAAAAATAATAAATTAAGTGAATTATTTTATGGAAAAACTGTAGGTATTAATATATCATTTGAGTGGCTGTATTGACTGGAATTTTTTTCTTAAAGATTTTAAAATAAGATTATAACAAAAGTACCACACATGTAATATATTCACTGCCTCATAAGCAAGTGTTTGAAGTGCTCAGAATCTTTCAGGATGTACTTGATGCTATTAATTTCATTAAAAAAATAAATATAGTAGAATCTTTGTAATACTTCTTAACCAGGTGGGAAGTGATCATGAAAATATTTGGACCTTTCTGGATTTCCCAGTTTATCTTAACAGAATACTTACTAGAGTTATCCAAATGCATATATTCTGTCTTCTATAAAAGCACAAGGATTTTAAGTTTATTGATTCTTTCTGTGGAAAGACGTATAGTTGACCCTTGAGCAATACAGGTTAAAACTGTGAAGATCCACTTATACGCAGACTTTTTTCAACCAAACGTGTAATGAAAATATAGTATTTGCAAGATGTGAAACCTGAGTATACGGAGGGTGGACTTTTCATATGCAAGGGTTCTATGGGCAGACTGCGGACTTGAGTATGTGTGGATTTGGGCATGCTCAGGGATTCCTGGAACCAATGACCCACGTAATTGTTAGTTACATGGGATGACTGTAATTGTTAGTTGTGTGCTGCCAGCAAATACTAAATACAAATAAGTAAACACTTGAGCTGTCCTTTCAAGATGAAGGTGAGGTCTTATCAGTAAATGAGAAGGTAAATGCTTTGTGAGGGAAATTTCTGGTTTAATGATCACATTTTAAAAATAGCTGTTTGGAAATGTTTCCATTGTTGTGATTTTGTGCTATTAAAGTGATCAAAACAACACCCTTATTTATTCTAACCTCTCAAGATCTTTTAAAAATGAATAATTTCAGTACAGTTGGATTCTTCTGTAAAAGATAAAAATATAACATTGATTAGTTTGCAGAAATAATTATTTGACTCCAGTTAAGAAATGTACTAGTAAAATTTCAGTTTGACTAATTATTAATGTTATAATTTACCTAATATCACCGACAGTACACTTCCTCCGTTGGCTTAACAGATTCCTCAGCAATATCTTTATTAGTCATTAAGACCAAGGATCAAAATAAATTAAGTTAGATTAGCCCTGTGAACTGCTGTAAAGTGGTCGACAAGATTTTCAAAACTAAGAAGCCATACTCAATCATATTTCTCTTGAAATAATATTTTTAGTAAGAGAAAAGTATTTTTCAAATCATGAATATAATAAAATTATTTTTAAATTAAGTACATTTCGGCTTTATATGCTTTTTTTAAAGGCTGTTTCAAGTTTTGGAGAAGTTTTACACTGTATATAATCTATGAGTTTAGAATTACATGGGTTTCAGTTATAAATAAATATAATTTAGGGCACTTGATCAAGTGTTTTATTGATAGGAGTGAACTTCAGACATTTGAAAACAGCTGCCCAGAGAATCTTTAGGAGGCTGATCCCCCAACACAGGTCAGAAGATGCAAATCATTGTGCTCTGATAGGGGTCTTTTTAAAAGGCACTTTCTCATGCAGTTAGGCATTTGATAGAGCATTAAATTACGTATACTTTTTATGGGAGGGAATGAAATTTTATTGGGATATGTGCTTGTATTAAGGAAAATTGGTTAGAAATTTTGCTAATTCTTCTGTGAGTTTCTCTAAAGACATCATAAAATATTTGTTATTAAGAACGTTTAGAGGAGTAAACTTTATTGCTTTATTTTAAAATCTAGAAACTGTTTTAATTAATATTCTAATAATTTGTACCTCTCATCAGCAAAATAGGGATTTGGACATGTTCATCAATGCCTCCAAGAATTTCAACCTCAACATCACCTGGGCTGCCAGCTTCTCAGGTAAAGACACACCTAGAGAAGACCCCCCAAATGGAGGTGTGATGGATTAAGAAATGTAATATAGGAATTGAGAAAGCGAGCTTAGGAGACAGATTGGTTTGAAACCACCCTTGCCACTTATTAACTATGAGACCTTGAGCAAGTGTCTAAATCCCTCTGTAAACCTTAACATTATTTTATTCATCTGTAAAGTGAGCATGATACTTACCTCTTAGAATTGTTGTATACATTAAATTAGGTTATACCTACCAGAGTTTGCTGTGGTGTCAGGCTCTGTGTGGTTACTACCCTAGCCCACCACCACCATTTCTGTTCTTGCTGTGGCCACTGGCACTACCATCATTGTCTAAATCCATGCTTCAGAAGTGAAAAATTCAAATGACTCATCGTTTCAATAAATGAAAACATTTTAAATAAAATGAGATTTCAGTAGGTGCAGAGAAATGTAACTTGGGAATTACATTAAGCTCTAAAAGCACAGCTCTTACTGTCTGTCTTACTGTGATTCACTGAAGATCTACTGTGTAGAAAATCTAAAGAAATAAAGGATGAAGGGCAAGTGCTGTGACTCATGCCTTTAATCCCAACACTTTGGGAGACTGAGGCAGGAGGATTGCTTGAGCTCAGGAGTTTAAGACCAGCCTGGGCAACATAGTGAGACCCTGTCTCTACAAAAAAAAGAAAGAAAAAAAAACCGGGTGTGGTGATGCATACCTGTAATGCCAACTACTCAGGAGGCTGAGATGAGAGGATCACTTGAGCCCAGGAGTTGGAGGCTGCTCTGAGCCATGATTGTGCCATTGCACTCAGGTATGGGCAAACAGAGCAAGATCCCATCTCTTTAAAAAAAAAAAAAAAGAAAGAAAGAAAAAAGGATAATCACTACTTGATAACTCAACAAGTAGATACGGGTTTGAAATTTGTCCATTAAATTTACTTGCACCGTGCTATTAGGCAAGTTACTTAAGGTTTCTGAGCCAGTTTCCTCCTGTATAAAGTAGGATAGTAAAAATGCTGTCCTGGCAGGGCGTGATAGCTCTTGCCTGTAATCCCAGCACTGTGGGAAGCCAAGGTGGGCAAATCATTTGAGGTCAAGAGTTCGAGACCAGCCTGGCCTACGTGGCGAAACCCCGTCTCTCCTAAAAATACGAAAATCAGCCAGGCGTGGAAGTACGTGCCTGTAATCCCAGCTACTCAGGAGGCTGAGGTAGGAGAATTGCTTGAACCTTGAAGGTAGAGGTTGCTGTGAGCCGAGATCACGCCACTGCACTCCAGCCTTGGTGACAAAGTGAAACTCCATCTCAAAAAAAAAAAAAATTTAAAAAAACAAACAAACAAAAAAACACCTTCCCAAGTAGAGTGATGTGAGAATTAAATGGGATAATAAATGAAGCAGTCAGTGTAGTGCTTGAAATGTTACGGTAAATGGTAACTATATTTTATCATCATTATTACTATTACAATACTGGGTTTTTTTTAAATCAGAAACACAAACCAATTAGAGTGATGCAAAATAAGAGTATTACCTTGTGCACGCCACTTACATTTATCGTCTTAAAACATTGTGTTGAATTTGAGAAAAGTTCAGAAACTCGCAATGAGGAGAGACTTTTAAGAAAAAGTCTGAATTATCAGAGTCTTTGGAGAAAGGCAGCATCTCCAGGCATGTGAAAGATTTGTAGTGAGCTGGGCCGTGGCTCATGCCTGTAATCCCAGCACTTTGGGAGGCTGAGGCAGGTGGATTACCTGAGGTCAGGAGTTCAAGACCAGCCTAACCAACATGGTGAAACCCCGTCTCTACTGAAAATACAAAATTAGCTGAGTGTGGTGGCGCATGCCTGTAATCCCAGCTACTTAAGAGGCTGAGGCAGGAGAATTGCTTGAACCTGGGAGGCGGAGGTTGCAGTGACCCAAGATTGCGTCATTGCACTCCAGTCTGGACAACAAGAGCGAAACTCCATCTCAAAAAAAGAAAAAAAGAAACATTTGCAATGAGTGTCTCAATGAAGACGTGATAATCTGGGCTCTAGTCACAGGGTCTAACTCAGACATGGAAAAAAGTCCATTTCATTAATCTTTATCAGCACTTGAATTCCTGGCTGAGGGAGAATGTGGAACATTGAAGGACTGTCTGAGAATAGGATGGAGTTATACCAGATTAGGAGGACTTAAATACCATGGTAGCTGGCGGTAGAAGGGAGGACCGAGTGACCCCTTGAGCCCCTCCTCCCTGCTACTGTGGGTTAGGCAGTGAGCGGTACATCAGCATTACTGGCATGGGAGTCTGGCACATTGCCAAGGAGGTGTAAAGGAGAAATGCAAAGGAATTGAAGTGGTGTGGGCAAAGTGAATGCCAGTGCTTGTTGATAGGATTCTACTGGTGTCGTATTTTCATGATCATGTGTGTTGCCTGTTTGGGGGTGGGGCAAGGGTGGAAGGGAGTTACATGGATTCCTGGTAAAACCTTTTTTTTTTTTTGAGACGGCATTTCACTCTTGTTGCCCAGGCTGGAGTGCAATGGCACGATCTTGGCTCACCGCAACCTCCGCCTCCGGGGTTCAAGCGATTCTCCTGCCTCAGCCTGCTGAGTAGCTGAGATTACAGGCATGTGCCACCATGCCTGGCTAATTGTGTATTTTTAGTAGAGACAGGGTTTCTCCATGTTTGTCAGGCTGGTCTTGAACTCCCGACCTCAGGTGATCCACCCACCTCGGTCTCCCAAAGTGCTGGGATTACAGGTGTGAGCCACCACACCCAGCTGGTAAAGCCATTTTGGTTAGGGGCATAGGCTTGTATATCAGCCTGCCCAGCTTTAAATCTTATCTCCATTTCTTGCTGGCTATGTGACTTGAGGGAAGTCAGTTACTTTCTCTGAACCTCAATTTCCCAATCTGTAAATGAAGATAATAATAGGGCAACTGTGAGGATTAAATGAGATTGAGCTCTTAAAGGCTATTACTGGAACACAGGAAATGTTTGATAAATGTTGTTGTCCTTATTATTAATGAGGCCAGATTCTGTTCTCCCCCTACCCCCCAAAAAAATGTCTCTTCTCTTTCATGTTTTTCTTCTAACAGCTGGAACCCAGGCTGGAGAAGAGATGCCTGTTGTTTCAAAAACCAACATTAAGGAGTACAAAGATAGTTTCTCTAATGAGAAGTTTGATTTTCGCAACCACCCAAATATCACTTTCTTTGTTTATGTCAGTAATTTCACCTGGCCCATCAAAATTCAGGTAAGAAGAGCTTTTTGGTCTCATACCTGCAAAGATGGTGAAATCTCTTTAGTAAGACTAAATTTGCTAATTTGGAGCTTGTGGTAAATGAGATGTGCAATGTGGCCTTGCCTTTGTAATGTCTATGGCAGAGAAGTGCTGAGTACGTGCATGCTGCACAGAAGATTGGAGTGGGGATGGACTGTATCACTCGGGAAGGACTTTTGCAAAAGCACTGTTGAAAGCAAGTTGGCATGTAACAGATTTGGTCATTATAATCGTATTCACTTCTTCAGTAAGCACTTGCCATGTGAAAACCTGTAGGGCTTCACAAAGAACTTCAGTTCTAGAGTAAGGTGGATGTAAGTGAAACAAACCCACATATAACGAGTGAAAGCCAGAGTGTGGAAAGTGACATGAGATGATCCCAGAAATGCTATCAAAGTTTAAAGGAGGACAGCTGGGGAGGCTTTGTTGAAGAACATCAGCCTTGTAGTCAGACAGAGGTGGTTTGATTCCTGGCTCCTATACAAATCATGCAGCCTTTCCAAGTCTCCAGTTCTCTGTGCATGTGACCTGAAGGGTAGTTGTCAGCGGCTGTATGACTGCTGCAGTGTCTTGTTGTCAGCCTACTCCTTTCCTCTGTTCCCAGGGGGCCAGTGTACTCCCACTTTTCCAAGACCCATGGCCCCATTTTAGCTTTTTATACTCATGTCCCCTGGGGCCTTTCCTCAATACCTTCTGCTTCTTACCTTCTTCATTTAGGTGAATGTGGAGGTTGGGGATAGGTGGGCTTTCAGGGACTGGTTCATCTTTAACCACAGAAGCATGGTCACTGGACGGAGGCTGTTGCCGTTTGCCAAAGTTCAGAAGCATAATCAACCTAAGAAGCAAGTCATCACAAACATATGAAAAAAGTTCAACATCACTGATCATTAGAGAAATGCAAATCAAAACCACAGTGAGATACCATCTCACACCAGTCAGAATGTCTGTTATTAGAAAGTCAAAAAAGAACAGATGCTGGCAAGGCTGTAGAGAAACAACAGTGCTTCTACACTGTTGGTGAGAGTGTAAATTAGTTCAGCCATTGTGGAAGACAGTGTGGCAATTCCTCAAAGACCTAGAGGCAGTAATACCATTTGACCCAGCCATCCCATTACTGGATGTATATCCAAAAGAATATAAATTATTCTGTTACAAAGATACATGCACATGTATGTTCATTGAAGCACTATTCACAGTAGCAAAGACATGGAATCACCCTAAATGCCCATCAACAATAGACTGTATAAAGAAAATGTGGTACATATACACCATGGAATACTATGCAGCCATAAAAAGGAATGAGATCATGTCCTTTGCAGGGACATGGATGGAGCTGGAGGCCATTATCCTCAGCAAACTAATGCAGGAACAGAAAACCAGGTACCACATGTTCTCACTTATAAGTGGGAGCTGAGAACACATGGACACATGGTGGGGAACAACACACACTGGGGCTTGTTGGAGGGTGATGGGGAGGAGGGAGAGCATCAGGAAGAATAGCTAATGGATACTGGGCTTAATACCTAGGTGATGAGATGATGGCACATTATGGCACACGTTTACTTATGTAACAAACCTGTATATCCTGCACATGTACCCCTGAACTTAAAAATTAACAACAAAAACAAGTTAACGCTCATCAATTAGGATGCCTTGGGACTGTGGCTAAAGAACAGTTGATCTTTCCATTCTGGAAATATAGAGCACAAAAACTATGTTGTACTTTTTCTCACCACCCTCTCTCCTTTTCCTGTCTCCATGGTCTAAGATTTGTTAATCCTCTCATTGGCTTCTCCCTTTGCCCTTGCATACTCCCTGTGTCCCTCCTCAGCCAGTCTTGTAAGCATCAGCTACGCTTCCTATTCCTGTTTCCTCTTGTCTAGTCACACATCTGCTCACAATGGTCTGGCCTCTTCCCTTACCACATCTGAAACCGTCCTGTCATAGTGGGCCCCAATGATGGAATTCTTCAGTCTCCTTTTTCTCTCATTGCATGGCTTTGAATCATCATCTTTCTTGTCTTCCTGGATTTTTCTTTCCCTCATTCTCTGGCCAGTCTTTTTAGGGAATCCTCTTCCTCTTCCTTAAACACTGGGCTTGTCTAGGATTCAGACCCCGTCCTTTTCTCTCTCTACTCAGTTTCCTGCATGTGGGACTTGTGGTGCCACATCTATTCTGGTGATTCTCAATGCTGTCTCCAGACCAGCACTGGCAGTTGCTGCCTGGACAGCCCTACCTGGGTAGTCAAAGCTCCCTATGTTTGGTACATATTCCTTGTTGTGATCTGAGCCCCAGACTTCCATGCTTCCTTTCTCTGTAAACAACACCACCATCACCCTGTTGCACAAGCCAGGGTCTGCAGATCATTTGCATTCCTGGGATAAACCCAAATTGGGCATGACGTATTATTGCCTTACTTTACACATTGTTGGATTCAGTTTTGCTAACATTTTTGATTAGAATTTTGTATCTATTTCATGAGTAAGAATGTCCGATAATTTTCTCTTGCTGTCCTTGTTATGGTTTTGGTATCATGTTAAACTAACCTTTAATAATTATAATTTGAGGAGTTTTCACTCTTTCTCATCTCTGGAGAATATGTAAGATTAGAGTTAACTGAACCTCAAGTACTTGGTAGCTCTCACCTGTAAAATCATTTGATCCTAGTGTCTTATTTGTGGAGTTATTTTTTAGCTGCTGATTCAGCTTCTTTAGTAGTTATAGGATATTTTGAATTTCCTCTTTGATTCACTTTTTAATATTTTTTCTAGGTATTTATATCATGTTTTTAAATGTATTTTTAATTTTACTTTTTAAATTGATACATAATTGTACATATTTATGAGGTACATGAGATATTTTGATACATGCATACAATGTATAGTGATCAAATAAGAGTAATTAGGATATCCATCACCTCAAACATTTATCATTTCTTTGTGTTGAGTACATTTCACATCTTCTAGCTATTTTGAAATAATAAATTATTGCTAACTATAATCATGATGTGTATTGTGCCATTGAACACTAGAACTTCTTCCTTCTAACTCTATTTTTATGCCCATTAACCTCTATCTCCCCAGCCCCTCAGCCGCTGGTAACCACCATTCTACACTCTACCTCCATGAGATCAGTTTTCTTAGCTCACACATGTGAATGAGAAAATATATTTGTCTTTCTGTGCCTGGCTTGTTTCACTTAACATAATGACCTCCAGTTCCATTCATGTTGCTGCAAAGAACAGGATTTCATTCGTTTTGTGAATGAATAATATTTCGTTGTATAATATATACAACATTTTATTTGTCCATTCGGTTGTTGATGGACACGTAGGTCGATTTCATATGTTCACTGTTGTGAATAGTGCTGCAATAAACGTTTGTAGCATGCAGTATCTCTTCAGTATACTGATTTTCTTTCTTTTGGATATATACCCAGCGGTGGGATTGCTGGATCATGTGGTGGATCTGTTTTGAGCAGTCTTCATACTGTCTTCTATAGTGGCTGTACTAAATAATTTACATTCCCACCAGCAGTGAACTAGTATCCTCTTTCCCTGTATCCTTGCCAGCATCTGTTATTTTGTCTTTTTAATAATAGCCATTTTAACGGGGATAAGATGATTTCTTATTATGGTTTTGATTTGCGTTTGCCTGATAATTACTGATGTTGAGTTTTTTTCTTATGCCTGTTGGCCATTTGTATGTCTTCTTTTGAGAAATGTCTGTTCAGATCATTTGCCCATTTTTAAATCAAATTTTTTTTCTATTGAGTTGTTTGAATTCCTGGTGTATTCTGGTTATAAATCCCTTGTTGGAGGGATAGTTTCGAAATATTTTCTCCCATTCTATAAGCTTTCTCTTCACTCTGTTTCCTTTGCTTTGTAGAGCTTTTTGGCTTGATATAATCCCCTTTGTCTATTTTTGCTTTTGTTGCCTGTGATTTCGGCATCTTACACAAAACACCTTTGCCCAGACCAATGTCCTGAAGGATTTTCCCGATATTTTCTTCTAGTAGTTTTATGGTTTTAGGTCTTATACTTAAGCCTTTAATCCATTTAAATTTGATTTTTGTATGTGGTGAGAGAGAGGGACCTCGTGTTGTTTTTCTGCACATGGATATCCACTTTTCCCAGCACCATTTATTGAAGAACCTGTCCTTTCCCTCACTGAATATTCTTGACTCCATTACTGAAAAACAGTTGGCTGTGAATATGTGGATTTATTTCTGGGTTCTTTATTTTGTTCCACTGGTCTGTGTATCTGTTTTTATGCTGGTATCATGCTGTTATGGGTACTATAGCTTTGTAGCACATTTTGAAGTAAGGTGATAGGATGCCTCCAGTTTCGTTCTTCTTGCTCAGAAATGCTTTGGTTGGCTGAGTACAGTGGCTCATGCCTATAATCCCAGCACTTTGGGAGGCCAAGACGGGTGGATCACCTGAGGTCAGGAGTTTGAGACCAGCCTGGCCAACATGGCAAAACCCTGTCTCTAATAAAAATACAAAAATTAGCCATGTGCAGTGGTGGGGCCTGTAATCCCAGCTACTTGGGAGGCTGGGGCAGAAGTGTCTCTTGAACCCAGGAGGAAGAGGCTGCAGTGAGCCAAGATTGCGCCACTACACTCTACCCTGGGCAAACAGAGCGAGACTCTGTCTCAAAAAAAAAAAAAAAAAAAAAAAAAGAAAAAAATGCTTTGGCTATTTGGGGTCTTCTGTGGTTGCATACAAATTTTAGAATTGTTTTTTCTATTTCTGTGAAGAATGTCATTGGTGTAGAGATTACATTGAATCTGTAGATAGCTTTTGGTGGTATGGTTTTTTCCACAATATATTATTTCAGTCCACAAACATGGTGTCTCTTTCCATTTTTTTGTGATCTCTTCAATTTCTTACATCAATGTTTTATAGTTTTCCTTGTAAAGAGGACTTTCACCTCCTTGGTTAAATTTATTCCTACGGTTGTTTTTGGAAG